CTCGATGCACGGACAGTCCCTGTAGCATCGAGCCCGTCAAAATGCAAGCCGAAACTCGATGTGCCATGATGCTGTAGAACCACTGCTGTTTCCAGCCCTCCTCCATGGCATGCGTAACAAAAACTGCCATACGAGCATATACAAATATCAAGACAGATTACCCAAAAAAACAGCTCCATACCATGATGTCGAGGATCTCACATGTTCACGCGTTTTCATATGGAAAATCTCATAGAATTCACCAAATAAGCTCGGTACCGTGATGCAGTGGATGACCTTAGTTGCACGACTTTCTCTGTACAGTGAAACTGTAAACGAAGGATAACAAAATGCAAGCCGAAACTCGATGCCATGATGCTGTAGAATCACTGCTGTTTCCAGCCCTCCTCCATGGCATGCGTAACAAAAACTGCCATACGAGCATATACGAGTATCAAGACAGATTACCCAAAAAATCAGCTCCATACCATGATGTCGAGGATCTCACATGTTCATGCGTTTTCATACGGAAAATCTCATAGAATTCACCAAATAAGCTCGGTACCGTGATGCAGTGGATGACCTTAGTTGCACGACTTTCTCTGTACAGTGAAACTGTAAACGAAGGATAACAAAAGCGCGCAAACGAATGCATATCATGATGGCACGGATGACACCCTTTTCATTGCACTTCGCTCGATGCACGGACAGTCCCTGTAGCATCGAGCCCGTCAAAATTCCGTGTTTAACAGATCATTCGTCATTGGCTCGCACTTCCAGTTGGATGGACAGCAACTCGGGATCCTTGGCCCAATGCACATCCGACACCACAGATTGAAAGGTCGGGTTTGCACGAAGCCAGCGGCTCCACTGTCTATTCACTCTGCATAGGTTGTACCACCCGCAAAGTGAGGTCCAAGCCAGAATCACCTGGAAACAATGCAAGTCCAGTCGGGCCAACACTGGACCTGCCAACTTTGCGTCAAGCTTGGGAAGCCAGAATTCAGCCAGCATTTGTTTACCAACACTGGAAGGGCGAGCGACAAGAGAGACCACAGAATTCTCATCCGCAAGCTCACGAAGGATAGTCAAACTTTGACACACAGACGCTTTGACACACAGACGCTTTGACACACAAAAGCCTTTACACACAAACGCTTTTACACACAGACGCTTTTACACACAGACGCAACGCTTTTACACACAGACGCTTTTACACACAAAAGCTTTTACACACAGACGGTTTTACACACAGACGCTTCTACACGCAGATGCGTTTTACACACGCACACACGCTTTCACACACAAACGCTTTTACACACAGACGCGTTGACACACAAACGCTTTTACACAGGACGCTTTTACACGCAGATGCTTTTTACACACGCACACACGCTTTCAAACACAAACGCTTTTACACACAGACGCTTTTACACACAGACACTTGTACAGAAACGAAAGCGTCCATCGCAATTTTTCCTCAGTTTTTGACGTCCAACGTCCATTTCGTGCGAAAGGGTTGCGATTGACCAAGTAAAATCGCAATTTTTCCTCAGTTTTTGACGTCCAACGTCCATTTCGTGCGAAAGGGGTGCGCGCGACACCTCAAAGTCGCAATTTTTCCTCAGTTTTGGACGTCCAACGTCCATTTCGTGGGAAAAGGTTGCGATGGACACTTCAAAATCGCAATTTTACCTAGGTTTTTGACGTCCAACGTCCATTTCGTGCGTAAGGGTTGCGATTGACCAAGTAAAATCGCAATTTTTCCTCAGTTTTTGACGTCCAACGTCCATTTCGTGCGAAAGGGTTGCGATTGACAGCTCAAAGTCGCAATTTTTCCTCAGTTTTTGACGTCCAACGTCCATTTCGTGCGAAAGGGTTGCGCGGGACGCTTCAAAGTCGCAATTTTTCCTCAATTTTTGACGTCCAACGTCCATTTCGTGCGAAAGGGTTGCGTTTCGTGGCGCTCCGGCGGCACCGCCCCCGCCTTAAGAGAGAATAGAAGAAGAGCGAGAGGAGATCTGCAGATGTGAAGGTGTGAAGATCTAGATCTGCAGGTGTGAGGGTGTGAAGATCTAGATCTGCCGGTGTGAGGGTGTGATGATGTAGATCTGCAGATGTGAGGGTGTGAAGATCTAGATCTGCAGGTGTGAGGATGTGAAGATCTAGATCTGCAGGTGTGAGGGTGTGAAGATCTAGATCTGCAGGTGTGAGGATGTGAAGATCTAGATCTGCAGGTGTGAGGGTGTGAAGATCTAGATCTGCAGATGTGAGGGTGTGAAGATCTAGATCTGCAGGTGTGAAGGTGTGAAGATCTAGATCTCCAGATGTGAGGGTGTGAAGATCTAGATCTGCAGGTGTGAAGGTGTGAAGATCTAGATCTGCAGATGTGAGGGTGTGAAGATCTAGATCTGCAGGTGTGAAGGTGTGAAGATGTAGATCTGCAGATGTGAGGGTGTGAAGATCTAGATCTGCAGGTGTCAGGATGTGAAGATCTAGATCTGCAGGTGTGAGGGTGTGAAGATGTAGATCTGCAGATGTGAGGGTGTGCAGATCTAGATCTTCACACCCTCGATCTGCAGATGTGAGGGTGTGAAGATCTAGATCTGCAGGTGTGAAGGTGTGAAGATCTAGATCTGCAGATGTGAAGGTGTGAAGATCTAGATCTGCAGGTGTGAAGGTGTGAAGATCTAGATCTGCAGATGTGAGGGTGTGAAGATCTAGATCTGCAGGTGTGAGGGTGTGAAGATGTAGATCTGCAGGTGTGAAGGTGTGAAGATCTAGATCTGCAGATGTGAAGGTGTGAAGATCTAGATCTGCAGGTGTGAGGGTGTGAAGATCTAGATCTGCAGGTGTGAGGGTGTGAAGATCTAGATCTGCAGATGTGAAGGTGTGAAGATCTAGATCTGCAGATGTGAGGGTGTGAAGATCTAGATCTGCAGGTGTGAAAGATCTAGATGTGAAGGTATGAAGATCTAGATCTGCAGATGTGAGGGTGTGAAGATCTAGATCTGCAGGTGTGAAGGTGTGAAGATCTAGATCTGCAGGTGTGAAGGTGTGAAGATCTAGATCTGCAGGTGTGAAGGGTGTGAAGATCTAGATCTGCAGGTGTGAAGGTGTGAAGATGTAGATCAGCAGGTATGTGAAGATGTGAAGATGTAGATAGTATGAGGGCTGTGGTGATGAAGCAGCAGGGAAAAAGATGTAGATCTGCAGATGTGAAGGTGTGAGATCTAGATCGCAGATGTGAAGATGTGAAGATGTAGTATAACGGCTGCTTTTTTACGAAGAACCCTTCGCAGGCGCTCTCGGGAAAAACATTAGATTTATGCAGTTATGGCAATTTATCAGTTATAACTGGTTATAAGTGGGATTATACATTCTATAAATGGGGTTATAAGTACTTATAACTGATAAATGGCCATAACTGTGTGGTGTCCCACGTTAGACGATATGGATCACGGTGAAACCAGAGAAATTCCACAGGCTGTGGAGCAAAGCGCCTGGCGAGAGCTCTGCGCACAGGAACTCGGGGCATGGCGTAGGGATTTGACCGATCCTTGGGGCCCTGCAAGTATATGGCTCTTAACAGGGCTTTACATGGGATAAAATAACTCCTACAACTAGGTGGTCACACACCACCTATGGGATTATACTTCCTTCAACTATAGTTTGTTATACATCACTTCAATGAGGTTTTCTAAGCCAGTTCCAACTGTGGCTATACAGTGGCTAGGGCCCTGGAGGGTCATCTCAGGAATCGCAAGTGGTTACCCTGGTTCGATCTGGTGATCCTTTTTGTCCCCGATTTCAGTGGGGTTATCCGATTCGATATGTATAAATGGATTATAAATTATCACACATTAATATGTATTTTCTCAGAGTGTTACGATTCGTGGACTGATCATCCACTTAGTAAACGTACTATAGTACATACTAACTAAGTGTTAACATAGCTATTATTAGTAACTAATATTAGTACATGAATACATAGCTATTAACTCTACTTAGTAACCACTTACGATTCGTGAAATGATCCTCCAGGGATCCTTAATAAGCCCATTCCAAGCGCCATCGACCAACGTCGTGATATTGCCCAGATGGATCCCCGGGGAATGAGCAACGCCTAAGTCACTTTAAAACTCCATTAACTATACTAACTGGGGTTTATGGTATAGATATAACGAAGGCATATTAATTTTGGTTTATGGTATACCCTCTGGTTATTTGTTACAGTTTGCCATGGAAAGATCCACCCATTTTTAGTAGGTACTGTAAACCATCTATTTCGATTAGGGCCATCTATACCATGGCTATGTTAAATAACCAGAGGGTAGATATAACTATACTTTCTGGTGTTTATAAACCAACATTCACATCACTGGGGGGCCCCACATTGTATCAATCTTATCCACAAAACATGGGTTCTGTTCGGTGAAATTGAGAAATCATGAACAGAGATTGGGCATGTGATTCACAAAACTGCAAGTTGAATCAGTCAGAGACTTGGGTTAGTCCAAGAATGATGCAATGTGTGGCCCCCTAGTTATAAATTGGTTTATAAGCCCTATTAACCATAGTTACAAGTGTCATAAACATTCATCAACCATAGTTATTGGACTTATAAAGCAACTTGGCTATCTTTGGGGCCCCAAATTGTAGGTTTTAACCGCAATTCGGATCATGGATAAAATACTCCAATCACTAGAGATATTTGTGCACCAAATAGGATTACAAATCCAAGTCGGACTGGACCCCCCGAAGAACCAACAATAAATAACATTAAATAACAATACATATCAATACAGTAATGTTGTTTTCTTGTTGAATTGACCTCTTAGTGAAGGTTCCGTGCATCGAATTGGGGATATTGGGAGAGTCTTGCTAAGATTAAAATATGGAGAACCTGTCAAAATGGGGATCATAACCAGCAAGCATGGAAATTTGACCTATAAGCAACAAAAACGGGAATCTCTCCGGGCGAACTTGTGGAATCATCATCTTGGGGATTGAACCGTTGAATGCATGCCACAGCGGCCTCAAAGAGGCGGGATGGCGACTGCCTCTTCCAGATGGTTGAGGCAGAAGGATTGGATCGAGCACAACAGTCGCAGAATCCGTTATCCGCCACCTTGATCGCTGGAGAGCGCAGGCTGGCTTCTTTAGTCCAGCAGAGACCGAAACACAACTCATTGTTTGCTTAGTACTGCTTGCTGGCTATGATAAATTCAAATGAGGCACAGGCAATAAACTCGCCATGAACGCTGTTAGAGTGAGATTTTTCTTCCAAGGCCCGGCCGTGCAGCTTATTCGTATATCCCAAGATAGAGACCCTCCCCATGTTTTTTTCTCCAACGGGGTCGGGCACTGGAGATGTGCATATCATGTTGTTTCACTTGTCTTGTGTGGCACGTGTGCGATCACACATAACATTCAGATGTGCGATCACACATTGAAATTGACTTGCATGAGAAGCGCAATAAGTCTTGAAAGGTCTTTGTATCTTGTCACTTGTTCCTGTCTATTTTTGTGGTGTTGCATGTTTTTCTCCAACGTTATTGGAACTGTTGTGTCAACTGGGGACAAAGTGCGACGTCATGGCGGGTGCAATACATCGTCATGAGGTGTCTTCGCTGCAGGCACCATAGTTCGGATATTTGGTGAACTTCCCTTATTAATGGGATGCCACTTTTCGTGGCAGGTGCAATGTTGGGCACACTTGTGTGTTTGCAATTTGTGCTTTCCGTGTTGGCACAGCTGCGCGGGATGTTGCGTTTGTTTTCTATGCCATTTGTGTGGCATCCACAAGACTTGGTGAAGTTGCAAAGGGCGATGGTGAGAACTGCCTGTACACTTGACACTCCCAACTCCATACTCCACACTCCATACTCCCCATTCCACACTCTACACTGTGGCACTCCACACTCTGCACTCTACACTCCATGCTCTATACTCTGCACTTTAGATTCCACACTGTACGTTCTACACTGTACACTCTTGGCTACTCTGTACACTTTACGTTCAGCACTACACACCTTACTCTGCAGGGGAAGAAATATACAAGAATGTTGCAATAGGGTTCGTGGGTTGGATGGGCTCGACTATCAGCGCTTGGCACAGCATATCTTTTGGCATGGCTCGCGAGACCTGTTTGAGACTGGTGCGTTTTGAAGATCCCTAAAGTGATATCCATATGGAGGTTTCCCAAAATGAGGCTAGCCCTAAATCATCCATATATTTTCCATGGGTTTTCCATGGGTTTCCCATTCAAAAAACCATCCACTTTGGGCATCCCCCATTGGATGGGACACCGAAAAATCTTGCTCCGGCGCCGAAACTCGCCGTGCGGCTGCAGGACTTGGGCCTTCGTGGGCTCCAACTGAGCGGCCCAACTCCAGGACCTCGATGGGACGTTGGATGGCGAATTGCAAGCCCAGTGACTGCGACATTGACAATATGATAACTGGTTGGAACATGTTTTATTTTTCCAATATTGGGAATAGTCATCCCAACTGACTTTCATATTTTTCAGAAGGGGTAGGTCAACCACCAACCAGAATCATGGTTTTACACACACCGCTTGTGATGCAGGCAGGGCCAAGAACAAAATCATAGGCTTCAGACAACTCATAGAGCTTTGTTTGTCATGGCCCTTGGACAGTCACCTCCTCATCATTTCAGCAAGGGGTTTGGAATTCCAAGCTGGTTTTGGGAGTTTGTTCCGCAGTTTGCCTCAAGATCAATCAATTGTAGAAACTGGTCCGTACGTTACACTGGTTTCTTGAAACATGCTTCAAGTCACTGTAGCTTTGCCAAGTGGTTGCAGTGAGAAGTTCTCGATTCCGCAGTCCTCCAAAGTAGGGGACTTGAGTGTTCTGGCACAGAAATCCTTTCAACGTGGTTTCTTGAGGCTTCTTGCAGACCATCGTGCGTTGGATCCTACAGTGTCTCTGCAAGCTGCAGGACTCGAGGACGGAGACCATTTGACGGCTATTGTCCTGGAGGCAAAGCTAGCGGCAGTAGCAGGTGCTTTTGCATTGTTTTGCTCTGGAGGTGACCGAGTTGTCACATGGGGCCTAGCAACCTATGGTGGTGACAGCTCTAAAGTCCAAGATTTGCTCAAAGGTGTCCAGCAGGTTCAAGCAACGAGCGATGCACTTGCTGCCATCCTGGCTGATGGGTCAGTCGTGACTTGGGGCTCTCCAGACTATGGTGGTGACAGCTCTCAAGTCCAAGAGCAGCTCAAAGGTGTCCAGCAGGTTCAAGCAACGAGAGATGCATTTGCTGCCATCCTGGCTGATGGGTCAGTCGTGACTTGGGGCGATCCAGACTATGGTGGTGACAGCTCTCAAGTCCAAGATTTGCTCAAAGGTGTCCAGCAGGTTCAATCAACACAGTCTGCATTTGCTGCGATCCTGGCTGATGGGTCAGTCGTGACTTGGGGCTCTACAGACCATGGTGGTGACAGCTCTCAAGTCCAAGAGCAGCTCAAAGGTGTCCAGCAGGTTCAAGCAACGAGAGATGCATTTGCTGCCATCCTGGCTGATGGGTCAGTCGTGACTTGGGGCGATCCAGACTATGGTGGTGACAGCTCTCAAGTCCAAGATTTGCTCAAAGGTGTCCAGCAGGTTCAATCAACACAGTCTGCATTTGCTGCGATCCTGGCTGATGGGTCAGTCGTGACTTGGGGCTCTACAGACCATGGTGGTGACAGCTCTCAAGTCCAAGAGCAGCTCAAAGGTGTCCAGCAGGTTCAAGCAACGAGAGATGCATTTGCTGCCATCCTGGCTGATGGGTCAGTCGTGACTTGGGGCTCTCCAGACCATGGTCGTGACAGCCCTCAAGTCCAAGAGCAGCTCAAAGGTGTCCAGCAGGTTCAAGCAACGAGCGATGCATTTGCTGCCATCCTGGCTGATGGGTCTGTCGTGACTTGGGGCTCGGCATGCTATGGTGGTGACTCCGGTGGTGACAGCTCTCAAGTCCAAGAGCAGCTCAAAGGCGTCCTGCAGCTTCAAGCAACGAGCGATGCATTTGCTGCCATCCTGGCTGATGGGTCAGTCGTGACTTGGGGCTCTCCAGACCATGGTGGTGACAGCTCTAGAGTCCAAATTCAGCTGAAGGGTGTCCAACAGGTTCAAGCAGCGAGGTATGCATTTGCTGCGATCCTGGCAGATGGGTCAGTCGTGACTTGGGGCGATCCAGACAATGGTGGTGACAGCTCTGAAGTCAAAGATCAGCTCAAGGGTGTCCAGCAGCTTCAAGCAACACAGTCTGCATTTGCTGCGATCCTGGCAGATGGGTCATTCGTGACTTGGGGCGATCCGGACTCTGGTGGCAACAGCTCAGCAGTCACAGGCCAGTTTGCATATGTGTAACACTGTGCAACCATGTTGGTGCAAAGGCGCCCTTCACTGCAGAATCCACGGTGTTATTGATCGGCTTTTGGAAGTGTGCGTGTAAAAAGTCCAGGAAGCATCAGGAAGCGACTAGTACTTTTAGGAAATGCAGTGTCGAATCCAGTACAACACATGGACATGTCTCTCCAATGGTTGATCCCTTCCCGGAAGGGTCTTTATTGGTCAATATAATGTAATATGATATATATATATATATGATTATACATATATATATATACATAATTATATATATATAATTATATGTAATTATAGATATATATATATATATTTAATTATATATATATAAATAAAAAACTAAATGTATTATGTGTAATGTTATCCCACCAAGTGTAGTTAAATATGAAGTGTCATGGAGCCAATTTATCAATTTTGTTTATTGGCGCTAGTCTTTCCGAAAGATCCTACAAGGTGGTGTCCCAGTGATGGTGTCTTGGTGTATTCACTCGGCATGACCTTGAAGTTATGCAATATGACTGTTGTGTCTGGTGATCTAAAAAAGTTGTAACCCACTTAGTGTATCTATGGTGTGTCTTGGTGTATTATCCCACTAGTCATCGTCTTGATTTTCTTAATCACCATAGATCCAACAGTTCACCCAGTTCTTCCAATCAACTAGTACTTGATAACTGGTGTAACGTTCACTGGGGCATCAGCGTATGCCACATTCTGTTGGTCTCATTGGAGTGGGAGTATATAGCCCATTAACAAAGCAGCCACCATGGAGAAAAGTAACCCTGCAAGTTTTTTTGCCCTAGAGTTAAGAAAGTCCGGTTATACGTAGGTTAACTGGGGTTTATAGTGGTAGGTGCTGGTAGATATATCTATACTTAATTTGGTATCAACAGACATAGCTGGGGGGTACCACCTTGTAGTGACTATTTGATTCATAGAAGGGTCCCCGAGTATAGCAAGGACTCCAATGATCCATCTAAACATGTTTTTTTTACAAGGTCCCATTGGCCTAAGGTGAAGATATGGTCAAAGCCAGTGGGCAATTTTAGGCAATGATTACTAACCCATGGCCGGAAAGGCCAAGCCCGAAGTTATGGCTGATGCTGCAGTACCCCATCTGACTAGTTCTGACTTGGCTATGTACTTGGTGGATCCACCCTGTGAATTGTGAAGAACCATAGTTTTTGAAAACTCCCCGATTCGTGGCTTACATCCATCGGGCTTAGAAGTATACAATCCACAAAAACCAGGGGAGACTCTTCTCCAAGGACACTGCCCCTAGTGCCCCTTCCTATATTCCCATGAAATTTCGTGGTTGGTTTAGTCAATGGCCATTCCAGGATCCTAAATTTTATTGGAGCTACCAATCCCATATATTTTTGGCCTATTTTTTAGGCCTAAATTTCAGGGAATATCCCCACAATTCATATGGCCAACCCAACTTTTGGATCGATTCCCACTGGATTCATGGGAAATAGGGAACATCCATGGGAAATCATCTACTTTCACAGAAAATGTTTTCCGCAAACTCTTGGAGCATTCAATCAGGATTCATATAATTTATATATGAACTGATTTAATCCTATTGAAACCCAATTGTTGTTGGTTAAATTCATACTAAACCACCACTTATTCCTGAGATCCATCATTGGTGAGTTCTCAGGACGCAGCTCTGGAAGTTCGCTGTCATCGTGGCGCCGTGCCGCAGCAAAATATTGATGTAGATTGACATGTTTATGACATGTTTCTTGTGAAAATATAGGTGTGGTTGCAGTTTACGTGTATGTATACATGTGTACAACTGTACATGTATTGCATATGTAGATTTATGTAGGCATAACTGTGATACCAGTACATGATGCAATGCTTTTAGCAGCAAACATGTGTACTCGATTTATAAACATGGGTGCTAAAACCAACACAAGCACAAATTAAGTCATGGAGTTGATGTCCAGGAAAAAATGAAATCATTATATCACAGCTACGGATGACATGGAGCATGACAAGGACAAGCAATGGCTAGTTACACTGTGGAAATGAGGAACGGCAGCAATTCATATTCAGAAAGAAGTAGTATTTATTTTCTTAAACGTACTTAAACCACAGACACCGGACAAGTGTCCATTAATGAGAAAGAATGATGGGGAGTTTTACCATAGCAGCATGTATTCTATGCCTTGGCACAATCAGCAACAATGCATATATATATAATAATGAAACACATGTGAGCAGAACCAGCAACAATCAAGGTAGTTAAGCCATGAAAATGGCTGATGAAACCATGAAACGTGGTACAAACTAGGTACAACCAGAGATCACCAGAGATATTACAGATATGACATTCATGGCTTGTCCAGTGAACGCAGAGATACCAACCAACAAAAAGACGAGAAGGACCGTTGTTTGGTGATTTGAAAACAGATCACCCCGGGCCCCGATATGCCCCGATGCCAATGTTGAGCTGGTCGTTTCTGATGGTTTTGTCACTCCCCACGCAATATTTTTTTTGTTCATGTTCATGCCACTATCTCACCGTGATATTCCCATTCAATTCCCATTGTATCCACAATAAATCCCAGAAAATCTATTTAAATCACCATCAAGTCACCCTTAAATCATCATTGAATCAGCATTAAATCTGCATTGAATCCCATTAAATCACCATCGAATCATCCTTCAATCACCATTGAATCACCATTGAATCACCCTTAAATCACCAGTCACCCTTCAATCAGCATGTGGTTTTTCGCCAGTGATCTTTGGTGAACGCCCCCCAGCCATCCCTCAGCACGAAAAAGGCGTTTTCTATGATCTGGACGTGGGACCTCTGCAGAATGAACTGCGGTCCACCTCTCTGGACTACGAGTTCTTGCGGCTCGGTGGACGGAGGAAAGCCCTGATGGTTAACATGTTACAATGTGGGGCCCCCCAGTGATGTTAACGTTGGTTTAGATTCACCACATGAATACTACAGTTATTTGCGTATTATAAACCATACTTATTGGAATTATAAGCCAACTTAGCTATCGACCGGGGACCCCACATTGCATGGATTAGTACTACTAGTACTAACTGGTAAAATACCTGTCATAAGTTGGGATATAATTTTAGAAACCTATGATGTGGTACAGTTGACCAGATTGGTTCACACAATTCGTAGGATTTGACCAAAAAAAATGTGATTGACTGGGACTTTATGGGATTTGGTTGGCTAAGTGATATCTATAAAATGTGGGGATTTCACTATGGTATTCATGGGGGTCATAAACCAACAAACCCTACAGCTCCAAACACCTTCTGAGACTGTATGGATGGAGTTGTTTTTTGGGTTATAAACACCTTCTCAGATGGTATAACTGGAGCACTAGGGAAACATCACTGGGGTTTATCTTGTAGAACTGTGATTTTTTTCATGGCTCCCCAAGCAAATCCAAGTTCTGGAAGCTCTTATCACTTTTTCAGCTTCCTCGCACACCCAAACCTTTGCTCTTGAACTTCCATGAGAAATCATCACGTTTCTTGCGTCCGGAACCCATTGTCGTTGGTGAAAAGCAAATAAAAATAAACATTTTGGCTGGTGAAATCCCATGAAATCACCCTTAAATCCCAGTAAATCCACCATATACTGTAAATCCCATTAATGAAGTCCCATTAATGCCACTATTAAATCTCTTGAAATCAGCATTTTCCTTGGTTAAATCCCATTAAAATCACAATATTTTAAATATGTTCCTTGGTTTTCTTCGTAAACCCAATGGAAATCACAATGTTTTCTGAGTAAAAATCATCCCCCCTGGTACATTAACATAGACCCTGAAAATCACTTTTTTTAAGAAACGAATCTTTCACCAAAATGGCAGGGTCGAAATCTCTCCTTCAGGCCCAGTCTCTACGGTGAATCTGCCATGGTGCCCGAGGGCATTGATTTCGCGCCAGGGAGCAATGGGAGGAAACCGCGGCCCGGGGGAGTGCCATCCGGCCATCCCCATTAGAGACCCCAAGGGCCCCAAGATGAATAAGAAAAGCATGGATTTAATGGTATTTAGCTAAGGAAAATGATGATGTCATGGCATTTAACCAGCAAAAATGGTGATTGAATGGGATTTAACCAGCAAAAAAGCGGGACTTTAATATGATTTAACCAAAGACAATGGTGACTTTATGGGATTTGACCAGCAAAAAACAGCGATTTGATTGGATTTAACCAAAGAACATGGTAATTCCATGTAATTTCATGTTGATTTGATTCTGATTCAGAATGACTATTTACCCAGCGAATGGAGATACACTCGGATATAGCCAACCATATCATGTTTATTGGGGTTCATTGGTGACTAAGCAATATGGAACTTGGATCAGCGGTTGACTATCAAAAATCTTGCTTTATGGGGACCCTGATTTTGTGGCGGCATCGGCTGGGAGGGGTACTTGGAGGATCATCGTGGTGAATGGAGGGAGCTGTTGGAAGATCCAAAGGCCCTAAGGGTCTTCGAACGTCACTGAGGAGCTCAGTTTTGACTTCGCGGGCATCAAGCTTCCAGCTTGTGTTTATTATGTGAAACGTATGGCTCATGCCGCTGGTGACATCAAGGAGCATCGCTGGTTGCCAAAATCTGCCCTTGGTCAAACTGCCAGGACTAGGCGCCTGGCTCCGCTTCTTGAGCTGCGACAGACACGTTTTCTTCAGGAATCATGTTGCAGGCTGAGTAGTGTAGGCCCCCCCGAAACATTGCCTCATGCCTCTTAAATGTCGCATTTCAGCATAGGGTGCTCTAGGTCGGAGAAGATGAGCAGCAACCCACTTGAGGTGGTACCGCCTGATACCACCTCACAAGAAGTTGTCTTTTGCCATGGAAACATGAATCAGAATTAAAACACAATGTTTATCGTGTGTTTCACTCATGACGTTACAACAAAACCATTGAAAGCAAACAAGTGCTTGAGAACTGCAGTAATTACCAGAAAAAAACATGGGCTGCACTTGGAAATAAAAGCAAACACTGCGCGTTTCTTTGCCAGCTCACAAGCCATCGGTTTCGCAATCAATCAAGAAGAGCCTTGATTCATGACGCGTCCATGTTTTGCAGTTTTTTCCATTCACCAGGCATGGAGCATAGGTTGGCTTACCGGTTAGTTTCATGGGGCTATATTCCATGTCCACCCAAAATACTATGTCCACAGACAACTACAATTGGTTCTTTCCGCATATTGTTGGGGAAAGCTCCGCTTGTATCCGAATTCTCTGGTAGCTTTCAACTAACTACACTATCTACTTAGATACAGCGCTTTTCATGGTGAAATCTGCATGTTACATGACTCAATTCGTTTTTCCCCATGAAACTCCCATGACTTGTGGCTATAAAATTTCCACTTGTTCCCCTTTTTCCCCCCCCCACTTAGATTGGCCATGGGATTATATAGCGATTCCTGGTTAGTAACTGGGGTTATAAACCTTAAATCCCAATTATCCCTACAGCTCCAAACACCGACACTGAGACTGTATTTGGAGTTTTCTCCACGACCCATCGAAGCAGGACCTTGCGCTGCCGCCTGCGGCCCAGCTACCTGGGCCGCGACCGTTGCGTCGTGGCGCGCTATCCGCTGAGCGGCCCCCTGAGCGCCACGGCGCTGCGCGCGCTTTCCGCGCCGGCACCGCGCGTGGCGTATCGCAGCACGGGGTACTACGAGGCCGGAGAAACAGGGCACAGGTCCAGGAAAATGGTGATTTTTTGGGATTTAAGCCAGAAAATTGGAAATTTAATGGGAGTCTTCGGGCCATGAATTGTATTTTGTCTACGAATTCGTAAACAGTTAATTACTTCCCTTTACTGTTGTAAGTGTGTCTAAGAGATTGCCACTTAATGAACATGTATTCTTGTGAGTTTCCAAACATGGAAAAATAATATTGAGAACATTTGAGAACGCATGACCCATCGCGGAATCATGCTTGGTCAGACGTTCAAGCAAAAAGTTGATAGCAACTCGACCATGAAACGTCGTCCACGACCGGGACGGTGATGCAAGTGACATGGATTGAGCATGGCAGAGATGCGATGGTCAAAGACTGGGATATGCAGTGATGGCCCTTAATAGCTATAAATGGGATTAGAATGATATATATATATATATTTATGTATACACAGAGTGAGGCCCCCTAGATAACTAAGTCAATTTATGACTCCAATAACTATGGTTTATGGTACCTATAACTATATACTTACTGAGGTTTATAAAGCAACTTATAACTGGGGGGGGGGCCACATTGTACATATAATCTCAGTATATCTCAGTTATGGGAGTTATCATCCCATTTATAGCTGTTAGTTGGGCCACAACTGTGGGGGTCAAAACCGACAACTGGTCATGTTTTTTGCGAGGATCATCGAAGGCGCTACCAGCTATTTTAGGGTTCACCAGGGTACAGTTGAGTTTTGACACCTACAAGGTGGTGCCTCCCAAGTTATGTGAACGTTGGTTTATAATCCCATTGCAACTAGTTCGATATATCTACCATAAGTACTAGTTGTTAGAGTTATTTGCACCAACTTAGCTACCGACCGGGGGCACCACCTTGTATGGCTGACTTCACCACAGAACAGCCGGCCTGCAATGAGGTCTGGGAACAGTTTGCACTTCTTTCCAACCGATCATTTCAACAGCAAAAAACATCAGGGAATCGAGATATATGATATGATATATGATGAATTCTCCCAAATATATATAGCAAATACAAGCAAATCCCCCAATTCCTTGATTTGTCACCCCATTTCCCATTGAAATAGCTATTTGGATGGTACACACCCCATTTTCAGACAGACCCAGACATCATCTGGTTGGTGGTTTGGAACGTGTTTTATTTTTCCCATCATATTGAGAATGTCATCATCCCAACTGACTTTCATATATTGTTCAGAGGGGTAGGTATGCCACCAACCAGATCCCTATTGTATTTGTATCACATTAAATCCCATTGAACCATCATGTTTCTTGGTGAAATCACTCCATTTTCAGGCAGACCCAGACATCATATGATGAAGTCCCATGAATTAAATCACCATTAATATTAACCATATATTAATAGTATATTACCAACCACCCATATTTAAATCCAACCAGGAAAGACACCATTTCTGTGGCTTCTTCATCCCATGACTTCCATCCCCGGCTTGAAGGTGACCATTGGATCTTCACAGGACTTTTGTGTTTTTGCGGAGGGGCGCAGGGTGAGATGATGAATTCAGCCCCAAAAAGATGCCGTTTAGAGATCCGAAAATCCATGAACATCAATGAACATCATGTGAAATCCCACTGTAGTAGTTATATAGATGTGATAAGATGTGATAAGTTATATTCATGAATGTAGATTCTAACTTTGCGGGTTACTATAGATGATAACACACACACCATATAAACATATAATATGTAATTCCTACACATACAGTATATTGATAAACCATATTTCACTCTTCCACATCGGGGGATTTACAAACCTTAGCTTAAGTCTGAAAAACCCTAGAGTCTTTGAAGCCCAATGATGTTCTGGGCGAAATGCACCAATAAGGGGTTTATCAAAAGTTCTTTAAGTTGTTCGGCTACTGCAAAATTCAATTCTCCTTTCGAAGCCTGCTCTAAGGATGACCAAAACTTTTGCTTGGTTGTACTTCGAGTACTTTGAACCGCTACCTCAATACTTATTTTCAGATAGTGGGAGCGACTTGGTACTGACAACGCAAATCAAGGTCTCACTGTCGAGTTTGCGAAGCCAATTTGGCCACAAAAGCAACTGGAGAAAACAAAGCTTTTGCGACAGCTGTAGAGGTTTCTCAAGCCTAAAGAACTGACAGAGGACAGAAGGTCTCCCTGCTACTTTGAAGAACCATCCAGTTATGTAATGTGATACTCCTAGTGCTTTGCCTTTTCTTGCTTTTCTGCTACCGACTGCTACCTTGATTTTATTTCTTGTCACACTAAGGATGACCAAGGCTGATACTCTTGCTTTGACTTTTGCTTCACGTGTAGCACCTGCAAATTCGCACCCGTGGATGTTGCATGGGTATTCCCTGCGCAACAACTCATAGGTTTCGGTTCATTTCGCCTTCACCTACTGCAAATTTTGCAACTCTTGGTGGGAGATTGGGACTCGCCCAACGAGTACTGCGTTTTGGGGTCTTATACTGTTACAAGACTAGACGCCTGAAGTACTTTGAACATTTTTTGGTTGGTTTTAGGCTGTGAAGGCAACAAGCAGGCAAACCCAATGAATAACACAGTTGCAAGGCATCCTGGGCGAACTAAATACAAATCAAGTTACATGCATGTATATGATTCATTATGATCCTGTGGCTGCCGCCCCTGCCACCGACCCCGGAAAACTTCAAGGAGACGTATTTCCATTCTGACCCAGCAATGTCTGAAGCGGATTTGCACGTGCTTTCTAGTACAAGGCCAGCCCCCGGATGCTGAATCCTGGCTGCTGACTACTGGCTGCTACCTACTTCTTGGCTGCTGGCTACTGGCTGCTGGCTGCTGGCTGCTCTTGCCGCTGGCTGCTGCAAAAACGTAGGTCCCGGACGGGAAAACACCATGGCACTGAAGGACGGATGCGCCAAGAAAAAGTGACCAAAAACTGCCTAACGTGTCGTCTGAAACTGCTCTAAAACAAGGCTAGCCGGCTAGCTGAGTCCTGGCTGCTGACTACTAGCTGCCTGCTACCTGTTCTTGACTGCTGGCTACTGGCTGCTGCTGGCTGCTGGCTGCTCCTGCCGCTGGAGTAGTACAAGGCCAGCCCCCGGATGCTGAGTCCTGGCTGCTGACTACTGGCTGCCTGCTACCTACTTCTTGGCTGCTGGCTGCTGCTGGCTGCTGGCTGCTCCTGCCGCTGGCTGCTGCAAAAACGTAGGTCCCGGACGAAGGACGGATGGGCCAAGAAAAAGTGACCAAAAATTGCCTAACGTGTCGTCTGAAACTGCTCTAAACAAGGCTAGCCGGCTAGCCCCTGGATGTGCTGAGTCCTGGCTGCTGACTACTAGCTGCTTGCTGGCTGCTCCTGCCGCTGGCTGCTGCAAAACCGGACGGGAAAACACCATGGCACTGAAGGATGGATGTGCCAAGAAAAAGTGACCAAAAACTGCCTAACGTGTCGTCTGAAACTGCTCTAAACAAGGCTAGCCGGCTAGCCCCCGGATGTGCTGAGTCCTGGCTGCTGACTACTAGCTGCCTGCTGGCTGCTCCTGCCACTGGCTGCTACAAAAACGTAGGTCCCGGACGGGATAACACCATGGCACTGAAGGACGGATGGGCCAAGAAAAAGTGACAAAAAACTGCCTAACGTGTCGTCTGAAGCTGCTCTAAAACAAGGCTAGCCGGCTAGCCCCCGGATGTGCTGAGTCCTGGCTGCTGACTACTAGCTGCCTGCTGGCTGCTCCTGCCGCTGGCTGCTGCAAAAACGTAGGTCCCGGACGGGAAAACACCATGGCACTGAAGGACGGATGGGCCAAGAAAAAGTGACCAAAAACTGCCTAACGTGTCGTCTGAAACTGCTCTAAACAAGGCTAGCCGGCTAGCCCCCGGATGTGCTGAGTCCTGGCTGCTGACTACTAGCTGCCTGCTGGCTGCTCCTGCCGCTGGCTGCTGCAAAAAATTAGGTCCCGGACGGGAAAACACCATGGCACTGAAGGACGGATGGGCCAAGAAAAAGTGACCAAAAACTGCCTAACGTGTCGTCTGAAACTGTTCTAAAACAAGGCTAGCCGGCTAGCCCCCGGATGTGCTGAGTCCTGGCTGCTGACTACTAGCTGCCTGCTACCTGTTCTTGACAGCTGGCTACTGGCTGCTGCTGGCTGCTGGCTGCTCCTGCCGCTGGAGTAGTGCAAGGCCAGCCCCCGGATGCTGAGTCCTGGCTGCTGACTACTGGCTGCCGGCTACCTACTTCTTGGCTGCTGGCTACTGGCTGCTGCTGGCTGCTGGCTGCTTCTGCCGCTGGCTGCTGCAAAAACGTAGGTCCCGGACGGGAAAGGACCATGGCACTGAAGGACGGATGGGCCAAGAAAAAATGACCAAAAACTTCCTAACGTGTCGTCTGAAACTGCTCTAAACAAGGCTAGCCGGCTAGCCCCCGGATGTGCTGAGTCCTGGCTGCTGACTACTAGCTGCTTGCTGGCTGCTCCTGCCGCTGGCTGCTGCAAAACCGGACGGGAAAACACCATGGCACTGAAGGATGGATGGGCCAAGAAAAAGTGACCAAAAACTGCCTAACGTGTCGTCTGAAACTGCTCTAAACAAGGCTAGCCGGCTAGCCCCCGGATGTGCTGAGTCCTGGCTGCTGACTACTAGCTGCCTGCTGGCTGCTCCTGCCGCTGGCTGCTACAAAAACGTAGGTCCCGGACGGGATAACACCATGGCACTGAAGGACGGATGGGCCAAGAAAAAGTGACAAAAAACTGCCTAACGTGTCGTCTGAAGCTGCTCTAAAACAAGGCTAGCCGGCTAGCCCCCGGATGTGCTGAGTCCTGGCTGCTGACTACTAGCTGCCTGCTGGCTGCTCCTGCCGCTGGCTGCTGCAAAAACGTAGGTCCCGGACGGGAAAGCACCATGGCACTGAAGGACGGATGGGCCAAGAAAAAGTGACCAAAAACTGCCTAACGTGTCGTCTGAAACTGCTCTAAACAAGGCTAGCCGGCTAGCCCCCGGATGTGCTGAGTCCTGGCTGCTGACTACTAGCTGCCTGCTGGCTGCTCCTGCCGCTGGCTGCTGCAAAAAATTAGGTCCCGGACGGGAAAACACCATGGCACTGAAGGACGGATGGGCCAAGAAAAAGTGACCAAAAACTGCCTAACGTGTCGTCTGAAACTGCTCTAAAACAAGGCTAGCCGGCTAGCCCCCGGATGTGCTGAGTCCTGGCTGCTGACTACTAGCTGCCTGCTACCTGTTCTTGACAGCTGGCTACTGGCTGCTGCTGGCTGCTGGCTGCTGGCTGCTCCTGCCGCTGGAGTAGTGCAAGGCCAGCCCCCGGATGCTGAGTCCTGGCTGCTGACTACTGGCTGCCGGCTACCTACTTCTTGGCTGCTGGCTACTGGCTGCTGCTGGCTGCTGGCTGCTTCTGCCGCTGGCTGCTGCAAAAACGTAGGTCCCGGACGGGAAAGGACCATGGCACTGAAGGACGGATGGGCCAAGAAAAAATGACCAAAAACTTCCTAACGTGTCGTCTGAAACTGCTCTAAACAAGGCTAGCCGGCTAGCCCCCGGATGTGCTGAGTCCTGGCTGCTGACTAGCTGCCTGCTGGCTGCTCCTGCCGCTGGCTGCTGCAAAAACATAGGTCCCGGACGGGAAAACACCATGGCACTGAAGGACGGATGGGCCAAGAAAAAGTGACCAAAAACTGCCTAACGTGTCGTCTGAAACTGCTCTAAACAAGGCTAGCCGGCTAGCCCCCGGATGTGCTGAGTCCTGGCTGCTGACTACTAGCTGCCTGCTACCTGCTTCTTGACTGCTGGCTACTGGCTGCTGCTGGCTGCTGGCTGCTCCTGCCGCTGGAGTAGTAGTGGTAGTAGAGTCGTCGCAGTAGTAAAAGTAGTAGCAGTGCAGTACCTCTTCTTCCCTTACGCGCTCCCCCTTGCGTCGGCCGGGGTCGGCGGATATCACAAGTTTAGGATTGATATTTCCACCAAATCAAATGGGAAACCATGTATCCCCCATCAAATTCCAGGCATCTCAGGGCTGTTAGACACCTGGCAGGGTGGTTGACAAAGGACTTCCAAAGCAATTACTTTGAAGTACCAGGTATACATATGCATCACATGCAGATACATTTACATGCCCATGCAGACAATTGAATTGCCATCCGAACGGTTATTTTGAACCCGGTCTATAATTTCTGGCCATCATGTCTCATGAGAGCTCTTCTTCAGAATGGACTATGATCAGCATCCCAAGGGGTTAGCAGGTACGGGATTGTTGGCAAAGAGGCAATATGGACATTTGTTGCTTTGTAGTGGCTCAAAGGAATTCAGGATGACGTCAATCTTCACTTCGGCAGCGAAAGCCATTGATCGTCTTCGCAAAAAGAGGGCAGAGGCCCGGCATGCAGTTAACAATGCAATCTCTAACAACACCTCCTTCGGACCGAACCATCAAAGGCACGGAGCCCAGCCTCAATGGGGTTGAGATTCCAGGAGGAAGGTTCAATACCTACAAGGTGGTGCCTGCTACTTTTAAGTTCGCTCAGTTTTACCCCAGTATCAGTTATAAATTATCTATAATTCTATTAATTTTCTGCCATATTGTGAATCCAAGGCAGTTGAACCACTTTCAACCAACTCAGCAAAGTTAGTTGGGGCACTGGTTAAATCCCGGTTATCCTTATGAAGTATCCCCAATGGTGCTGCCATGGTACTGCCACTGGCACCACGTCCAGTCTTGGTCAACTCAGTGTGCCATCATAAATCAGCTATAAATCCCCATGGAAATCCTCATTTTTTCTTGGTGAAATGTACATTTTCCATCATTTTCCTATAGGTGTTCTCATATTTTCCTATGCTTTCCCTATGGTTCTCGTATGGTCTTCCCTATGCTTTCCCTATGGTTGTCATCGTTTTTCCCTTGTTTTCGTCCCGTGCCCGCACCGCAGGAGCATGAAATGGTGCTCCCCTGTATCTCGGTCGGTCTCTGTAGCCCGCGCTTCAGTCGCCACGCCGTGGCCAGGCGGGATTGGCCGCCATCATAGGCCACGGATACGACCAAGGTAATATGGACGTACCATTGTATAGGTATAATATACTATAATAGGCATATATCATGTGGTTGGTGGTTTCAAACATGGCTTTTATTGTCCATAATATATGGGATAATCCTTCTCAACTAATATTTTTCAGAGGGGTTGAAACCACCAACCAGCGTTGTTTTGCTAAAGATTATATGTTATTATATGTATTTATCGTCCCAATGGGAAATCCACGAGAAATGGGGAATCTTGTTTGGGATTAGTTTTTTTCTTATGTTTTGAGGTGTTCAACATAAGCAAATCCAAGATAACTTTAGCCATAACATACATATGCATGCACCTATATAATATTTAACAATTAACTTGGCCATACATATGGTATAATAGACCATACTTACCTAAGTTATCTAATGATGTATTGGTAAAAATAGTATTATCATATGGTATAATATATGCAAGAATAGGTAAGTTGGTTTCCAAATTCAATGGCATTCATGGTTTGGAAAGCTGGCACCCTCGGAGGCCAAGATGATATGGACGTGGACATGTCATGATACAGATGGTCTTCGCAACCAACTCTGGCGAATCTGAACATAGACTAAGCAAGGAGGCCATCTCTACTTATCTAAGAAACATTGAAAAAATCCATCTATCCTTCTATCTTTCTATCGTTATATCTTGGTTGAATCGTTGCAAAAATACACCTCCGAAATGTTGATGTTGGCATCTTTACTTTTCCCCATTTCTCAAAGGCCACAACATGGCGTATCCAGCATTTTTATACAAAGCCACATGGCTCGACAAGCCATAAAAGGTGTAGAAGAGGCTTTTGAAAATGATGTCAAACTATATAAAATTTGTATCTTAAAATACTATAAAATATTGATGTACTAAATCCTTAGAGCCAAAATGAAATTCTTCGTTTTCTTTGCGGTTTCGGAGGCAACAAGCCGGCTGCGATGGTGAATCCTGGGCGTGGCACAGCAGCTCGGCGCCGACCATGAAAAGGGTGTTTTGATCCACGGAAAAATGTCGTTTTTTTTTGAGATAACTCGCTGGTGTTTCAGGTGGGATTTAGTGGGATTTAGTGGGATCATATGTTTTTTTGAATGTTTATTCATGTTTCCTCTTCGGCATCTTGTAACCATCAAAACATGAAGGAAACCCATGGTGAAACACATGAAGGGACTGACTCCTTCTGGATTTTCTGTGGTCAAACTACAAGGGCACAGAATGAGGCTAATTTCTACGGCAATCATTCTGAAGAATATGATTTATGGGTTGATGTGTCAGGGGGTTCAAAAGAACTATTTCCGTGACAAGTAGATTGGATATGATTGGATACCTGCCAAAAATACCGTTACCCCAGATTTTATAAATAGATACTCGGGAATACATATTACCCATTGAAACTTGAATATGTTCAAACCGAGGTGCACATGTTATCACATGAGCGACGGCTCTTATTTGCGTATATGGAAAGTATCATAGGGAGCTGATGCGGGTCTGCTCTTGACAGCTCTTAACCACTCTTAACAGTTGTGCCCAAAGGCTTTAGAGCGGTTAAGAGCAGTTGAGAGGAGGGGGGTCTGACCCTGTTTTGTTGGCATTTTACAGTGCGTCATGCCTTGGAACTGTACCATATGTCCATCCACAGGATGGACACCCATCGGTTGGGGATTCTGTCAGTCAAAACCAGTGAGAGGAGGGGGGTCTGACCCAGCAGACCCGCATCAGCTCCCTATGAAAGTAGTATTCGGACGTACCCGGTTTGTCAAAAATATCATATTTAGCTTTTAAAACGAGGTAGGAACACCCCGAGAACGAAAAATCCCTGTGATCACTGGGATGGCTTAAAGGAAATGGGATTGCTCTCAAATCAATCTCTTGAGAAGCCAGAAAAAAAACTAAATCAGTCCCAATTTTTGATGGTCAGGAAAAACGATGTTGACAACGATTAAATCCAATTGTTAGTTGATTCAATCCACATGCTGAGTTAAGCCGTGTTGATTGGTTAATTCCCATTAAATCCCGGATCCCATCAAAGCACCATTTTTCTGGTGTGAAATCCCGCCATTGGCCTCCCATTTTGGTAAAATCCATGGTAAAACCAGCATTTTGTGCTGGTCAGAAGCCTGGGCTTTACAACTAGGTGAACTACGGTTTATCCTAAATATAATTCTAGATACTCATGATAAACCGTAGATACTCCAAAAAATGTTCAATAATATTCAATATAATTTCATGTTCATGGTCAAATAATAGCATATGTTTAACCTGATTTTTTCAACCAAAAACAGGTCGCTGTTTTATGGCGCCATGGGCCAGAAATGGATCATATGATGATCTCCCTGTGTTAATTTGCTGATTTTCCAGTTCGCTATGCAGGGTATAAACCCTCAGCTGGACTGGTCAAAACAACCGCATCAATTTGGGTCCCGGGAACGGGTCGTAACGGGTCCCGTTACGCACTTGGCTGGGGTGCAGTTCCAGTGACTTAAGTAGATTCATTATGAATGATATAGAATCTGGTTATGTCAAAATAGCTATTGAAAATGGCCATAGACAGTTGATTTACCCAATAATAGCATGGTGATTTTCCATAGTTATGTAAACGTTTACCAGAGGGTAGAATCTATAGAACCATAGTAAGACTGCTTTGTCCAATGATTTCTTCTTTCTTGGCTGGCGCGGAGATGACAATGAGCTGCAAATTCCAGAGCATTGAACAGATTGATTGATCAAGTCAAAGCCTTGCCAGGTTGTTCGATTCATTGCTCAATTGAGTGTCGTCCTTGGTCACAGTGGCAGCATTTCAACAAAGCCAAGAATCCTCGTTTGCCTGCCCGCATTGAGGAGGACAGAAAGGCGAGCGAAGCTTTGTTGTGTCAGTTCATCAGAGTCGCAGATGTTTGTCGTCGGTGAATACATACAAGGCTGCCTGTGAAAAGTCGCGCAAGATTTTCATGACGCACCAAGTCCCGCTATTGAGTTCTGGAGGCTACAACTCCCAGTGGTTGTTCAGAGCTTACTCAATGGGAAGTGGCAGGAGCGCTGGCATGCAGCGACTGTACTTTTCTGCGCGCGACAAGGTGGACGGTGATATCATATATCCCGACTTCGAGGGTTTATTACCAAGTGATACATCGGTTACATCCAAAGTTATATCACAACTTATAGGGCGGGTTTGTGATTATAGTATATACCTTAGTGATATAGGGGTTATGTCCTAACATATCCTAACTTATAGGCATAGTTATACAGTTATACCATAGTTATACCATACTTATAGCCATTAATACCCCGTCTGGCAGCCCCCATGGTGTCGTTTTGATTCGTTTTGAGGTGACGACGGGCTCCTCTTCCACGCCTCCAACCGCGGCTTCGCCTTCGAAGGCGCCGCGACGATCGTCGCGGCGACGCCATCGCCGTGCTTCGGCGCGGCGGACGTGGTGGGCTGCGGGGTGCTGCAAGCCGTGGAGGGCGCAGGTGGGCGGAACGGGGGGTCCCAGGGGTCCCAGGTTGGGGCAGGTTTGGTGGAAATGAAAGCTGCCATTGAATGGGATGTAAATAGTGGGATTGAATGGTGAATTTTTAAAACTGTATGGTGATTTTGGTGGAAAATCAATATATAGATCCCATAATATACTGTATGGTGATTTGATATGATTTTATTTCGATGTGGGATTGAATGGGATTTATAAATTGGTTTCAGGGGATTTGATGAGATTTAATGGGATTTAAATAGTGGGATTTAATTGGCTAAGATGTCTGAAATATTCTGAAATAACTAGCTTCATTGTTGGAATTTATGGTAATGAAAGAACTATGGTCAATCAACGAACTTTGAAACTGGGAGCCAACGACTCTTGCGACACTTGTGAGACTGGCGGGGTGGATCTCATGGTTTGGTTTTTGGAGAAACCGACTTACCCTCTGGTAATTTAACATAGCTGTTGAAAATGGCCATAGAAATAGTGGATTTACCCATTAAAAATTGTGATTTTCCATAGTTCTGTTAGTTTACCAGAGGGTACATCCTCAACTGCGCCCACTCTTTGTGGGTTGCAGAATAGTCACCTCTTTTTGCCTTTCCAACCCCTTACTTTTGATGCTGGTAGATTGAGATCCAGCATTTGTCGAGCTATAGCCTCGCAACGTAAACTAGGTTTTCTGTTGATGAAAACTTTGGTCCGTAGGTTAGAAACAAACAACTTACAACTAGGGGTCACCAACTTTCGCCAAACAGTTTTCAATCATCAATGTTTTATCATTTGTTCCATACTTGTCCATGATTTTCCATCAATTACCCATACTTTTCCATGATTGTGCAATGACTTTTCCATTTTTTATTGGGGCCAAAAAGCATCACTTTCCCAATCAACGTCATGGAGATAGGGGTGCTGGCACCAAAACCCAAGCAGGTGCTGATGCCGTTCTCCATGCGCCACGGAAGATTTTCTACACCCTCAATGGAGTCTTCATGGGCCACTTGCCGGGAACCATGACTGAAGGAGATTGACACATGGTATCAAAATATAGGTATATGAAAGTTGTTCTTAAGATTAACATTTATATCAGAGTAGTAGACTGACCATATATATAGGTGTTGAAATTGATCAACATTTCTGAAACGACCCCAGCACAGGCACTGGCATTTGCCCACCATTTGAGTCACTGAGGCTTTGCCTTTGACCTCGACATCCCCAGCAACGTTCCACTATGGCCTTGCGTGGCTCAGCGGAGTGCAAGCAATGTGAGATGAAGATACAGGGGATATGAAGATCCTCACAGTTACCCTCTGGTAATTTGTTACATAGCAATTGAAAATGGCCATAGAAATAGTTGAGCTATTGAAAATCATAGGACAACCATAGGAAAATGGGGATTTCATGAGATATATAGCTGATTTGTGATAGCTATTGAAAATGGCCCAGTCGAAATAGTTGATTTACCCACTAGCATGGTGATGTTCAACAGCTATGTGTATGTTTCCAGAGGGTAAAGCCCTCTCCAAAAGTAGGGCGTATGGATGATATGGGGGGTGGGTCAAAACCTTGTACCCCTGGTGAACATCAAAATAGCTGGTAAATGGATGTTCATCCCACTAAAAATGGTATTAATAGGTATTGATCCATAGCCATATATCTATACTTAGATGGGCCTATTCACCAACACCAGTTATTTGATGTTATTTGTATTGAGAAAACTTGGGGTATGATGCCATACATGGGGTGACGTAACGGTGACGTACTGACTTATAACGTACAACTGGTAAAGGGCCACAAGTGCAGAGGAACCAGCTGTTTTGGTGGCTACACCAGGTTTTTCATCAATGGGTTTTGAGATTTTATAGACCAGTCCATATCAAAGATGATTTCAGTAGGTTTTTCTTGAACAGATCCTATGTATATTTTATATATCACATATATATATATATATGTGATATATAAAAATATAATCATATATATGTGATATATATATATATATATCGTATATATATATATATACACATCATGTTTGGTCTTTCAACTATGCAATCGGCTGTTATCAGACATCTCCCCAGTGGTGAAGACTTTGAATCCGTAGTTTTGTGGTTTTTTCCGCACCCTATGAAGATCAAAAAACGCATTTTGTGTTTGAAAAAAACTTGGTTTGCAAAGCAAATACTGTACTAAGTTATGTTGCATAGAAAAATTGCTGCCTACACAGCAAACTCCAACAAGATCGAACTGTGTTTCCAGGATGGAAATTGGTTTGTCTCCTCATATTTTCCAGGTTTCCAGTCGTTTTCGTTCCCTAGTTTTTTGGTGCTACAATGTGGGGCCCCCAAACGTTATAAATTGGTTTATAACCACCATGAATTATATTAACCCAGTGACTATATATGAATTATTTAAGCGTATCATAAACCATACTGAGTTCTTGGAGTGATTCGGCCCCAGGACTTGCAAGGTGGTGCCCCCCAAGTGATGTGAACGTTGGTTTATATGCCATGGCAACTAGTTCGATATATCTACCATGAGTCCTAGTGAAACTAGAGTTATTTGCACCAACTTAGTTCCCCCTCTGGTAAACTAACATAACTATGGAAAATCACAATTTTTCATTGATAAATCAACTATAAATGGTCATTTTCAATAGCTATGTTAGTCATTACCAGAGGCTAAATCCCATTAAATCCCATTAAACCACCATTTTCCTATGGTTTTCCTATGGTTTTCATATGGTTTATCAACGACCCAACAATTTCGCACGGTATGTCATCCCCGGTATCTACCACCAGGTTGGCGTGGACACGAAGCAATGGTCGCGAACTCAGCTCAGTTACGGCCAGGTCGTTTGAAGCAACGTGGGTAAATCTTGGTAAACCCTAAAACCATTGGTCTATGAACAATGATTACTATAAAACCATTGGATTTCATGGGATTTAATGGGAATTAATGGGAATTAAATGGGGTTTATGTGGATATACCCTCTGGTAAACTAACGGTTTGCTATTGAAAATGACCATAGAAATAGTGGATTTTCCCACTGGTAGCATGGTGATTTTCCATAGTTTTTTGATGTTTTTTGTATGTTTACCAGAGGGTACTATAAAACCTTCATTGAAATTATCCTAGGTTTGTCAAACTTTATCTATAAGTTTTTCTGTTTATGATGCTGCCATATGCATGTTTGAAACATGCTTGGAATGGCAAAAACTAGGGCCTACGGCCTACGGATATACCCCAGTGTGGGACAGACAACACCCATTTACATCAGGTGTGTTTTACAGAAATCAACAAACATATGGACCAAATGGTGACAGTTTGGCCGTACACTTGGTTCCTCTCAGTCCGGCAGGGGCCCTCAAACGATGTGTTTAAGTTTGTTTTTAACCCCATGTCATTGTAACTATAGATTAATGATATATCCATCACAAAGCCTGGTTACATTAAATAGTTTCAGGAATAATGATATATCCATATAGCCTGGTTACATTGAATATGAAAGACATTAACTTTTTCAGAAAGTACCACTTTGGTTGCTACTTTGGCATGATGTTCCATCCAAAAAGCCTCACACAAACGATCCGAAAAGTCAAACTGTGCACAAACGATCCGTTTTTGGTGCCTGAGGTTGTCCTTCAACTTTGGTAGTGAACCGTTCCAGTACGATTTGGACCAGTTTCCCTACGTGCAGGCGACAAACAAAACGGTGTATCGGTGGGTTTCTTTGTGATTTGGATAGTGGAAAATCGTCAAAACCCTGGTACCTAGTGAACCCCAAAATAGCTGGTAAATGGATGTTCATCCCACTAAAAATGTATCTATAGGTATTGACCCATACCCAAATGATTGTCCAACTAACCCCATGGCAAATTGTTGACAGTGGGTTTGTCCAACTGTGGCCACTGTTTAAATGTTAAGGATCATCCCAGGGATTGTAACTGTGATAACTGTTTTGTTGCTTACGAAATCACCAGTGGATGGTCAACATCCCCAGTGATTTCTAGGATTTTATAGGGTTTTATTGGCTTAAGAGGATGTTGACCATATTTCTAGGAAAATCATCAGTTATTTCTAGGATTTTTTTGTCGGCTTTCATAGGCTGTTTCAAGCATCCAAAATTGGTGCCAACTTTCTGCAACCTTCCTGTCGGTAAAAATGGGGCCAGATAAGCCAGCTACATGATCCTCAAGGGTCAGTCATGGTTCCATGAGAAGAATGCTACATGTAGTGACCCATGATGTTCCACGTTACCATCATTAACCATTGGTGATTTTTATGGGATTATTCATGGGATTTTGAATGGGAATTATTTTAATGGGATTGATGTGGATATTGTACTGATATACCCTCTGGTAAATTAACAGTTGGACCCTGAAAATGACCAATTTAGAGTGGAAACTAGTCTTCCAAACCCTATCTGCCAGGGTCTATGTTAATTTACCAGAAGGTAATGGTAACCATCATTAACCAGCGTTTATAGATGAAGTTCAATAGCCATGTTTGATACACGGTGACTTTTGTGAAGCACAGTGAAGCCACCAATCAGAGTTTACACCCACCAAGCATGTGATGCATATCTTTATACAACTGTGATGTATTCACCATAAAGCCTACAGTTATCGCCATTTATCAGTTATAACTGGTTATAAGTGGGATTATACATTCTATAAATGGGGTTATAAGTACTTATAAGTGGTAAAGGGCCATAACTGTAGTTATCTTATCGGTATTTCTACTTTGGGGGGTGCAGTTCCCCTTTTTGTGGCCCTGAATCTCCCAACTTCTGGGGTTTTTAAGCCATAGGCCCATACCCAATCTTACCCCAAGTGCCCAAGTACTTATCAACCACAAACCTCATGATATATATATATATATCTAATATATATATAATATATATATATAATATACATATATATAATATACATATATATATATAATATATATATTTAATATATGATATATATAATATATATATATATATGTATATAATATATATCTATATATATATATATTATATATATATCCGGAAAATGATACATCCACCAACCAAAAATCCTAGTCGATCTTAGTTATTTCATGCGATTTCTACCTATCAACCAACAGAAACCGTGACTTCGGCCGCTAGGTTTCCCTGAAGACACCCTATGACACCTTCGCTGTGCGGAGTCCTGGGGGAGGATCATCCCACTGTCCTCGTGGGGTGATCCTCGCTTCGTGGAAATCTCTGGCCCGGCGTAAGTGGATTTATCATGATTTATCCCATCTTCTTACACAATAGGTGCCCCCCAGTTGTTGGTTTATAAACTCCATTAACTACAGTTATATCTATATACAGTATGGTTTTATGGGGGATAGAACTACTGGTTGGTGGTTTGGAACATTTTTTATCTTTCCATATATTGGGAGTTTCATGATCCCAACTGACTTTCATATTTTTCAGAGGGGTTGAAACCACCAACCAGATTAAATACCACCCCAGATGGGTGTATCTGAAGATGTGGTATACCTGGTATACCTCCTATGTTGGCTATTTTAAGAAGGAGACATTATTATATAATTCAATCGTCAATGGATATGGGGGTACGCTAGTTTAACACAAATATGGACCCCCCAAAATGAATAAATCCAATACTAACCTACTGAACCAGGGTTTCGTTTTGGGTATTTCATATTAGGAAGAACGGATTATAGTTGTAGCCCTGATATACCATTGTCTATCCCAGAAAGCAGTGAGATTGAACTCGTTGGTATTTTGGCTTTGTCATCTTTGTCCGAGCTTGCACAAAATACCCTCTGGTAAACATACACATAGCTATGGAAAATCACCATGTTTAATGGGTAAATTAACTATTTCTATGGCTATGTTCAATAGTTTTTTGTATGCTTACCAGAGGGTACAGCAAATTAAAATCTGGTTGGTGGTTTCAATCATGGCTTTTATTTTCCATTTCATATATGGGATGCCATCCTTCCCATTGACTTTCACTCCATCATATTTTTCAAGATGGTCATTGTTTGTGCCAGCAACCAGAAACTGTAGTAGTTATATATAAAACACCAGTTAGATTATATATTTCTTTATAATGGTGTTAATTATATTATATAAATCTATTATAAAACACAAGTAGTTATATATAAATATACATAAAATATTAATAGCCAGTAGATTATATATAAAATAAACACCAGTTAAATCCCCATTTCCATTAACTGATGGACTGATGGTCACATGGTCCTCAATTTTTGACCCATGGCCCCTTCAGGGGTAACCTCACGGCCTGGTCCTGGGTTTTGACAACGCAGAATCACCCAGTGGATCAATGGGAAATCATCTATAAATGCCCTATGGTGTCTATCTCATGTTGAATCATTTTGAGCTAGATTTCCGAACCATGCTACCACAGAACGGAGGATTGAAGCTTTGATCACTGCTGCATCTGCAGCGGTGCACAAGGACATCGCGGTCCATCGTTTCAGCCGTAGCTCAGGTCACCAGGTCGACCACCACGACGCCCCATTAGTTCTATAGGTATCTCTACCGCGCAGCCAACAGTTCTATCATGTTATAAACCAAATTGGTCAACTTTTATTAATAAACTATTATCAACTCAACTTTTATACATAAACTATAACATTGTTTTTTAATAGTTGATATATAGTAACTATACAACTATAAAAATTAAAAAAAAAATGTTTATTGGTTTCAGCTGGCACCGACTGGAGCTGTCTCAGGACTGGAGCTCTGTCCAAGACTCAGTGACTGGCATCATGTGAGGAGTGTTCAAAAGCTTTGGTTGATGATTATATGGACTTATTCCCTCCAATGTGTTATGTATATATATATATATTTATATACGTAGATAAAGTACTATATATATATATATACATAATATGATATAATATTTATTTGTATATATATAATAGTAATGATAATAATAATGTATATATATATATGTATACTATATATATATTATACATATATATATATATATTTATATTGGGGATTATCATCATCCATAAACTGGGACGTCCGTTCTCACCTGGGTGATTGAAACTGGGATTAAGCCCCCCCAGTTTATGACAGTTTCGCAGGGAAAACTTCATGAAAGACCATGATCAATTTCACTGGATTAAATGGAGTAGCCTCGCAATTGACACTAGAAGTGGCTATGAGCCTTTTCTTGTTGAATAGTTGTAAGACTGTCATGAGTTCAAGGTTTAAGATATTTTGATGGATTGCAACTGTTCCCACCAAGAAAACAATGTTAAGTGAGGATCATCATTTTACAGCCACATGATCATGATTGTTATTCATCATTGATTTTACTTGGTGTCAGAAAGGTTGTCAAAAGACACAAGTAACAAGTCACCATAACGTCTCCTGCAAGCTTTAAGCCCCTAGGCAGCCGATGGCCCTCCTGTGCAGAATGCAGGCCATCCAGTGGTTAGAAGGGAGCTAAAGAGCGAAGGGTGCAACAAAAAATGGAGAGCTAAGGGGCTGCAATCAGAGTTTCGCAACCATATGAATGATGATAGTAAGACCCTTGATTGATGCATCATTTTTTGTTCAATCACATATTTGGCAGCAAAGCATGTGGTTTTCGACCATCCTTCTTGGGGATTTCCAGACGGTCCAGTCCCGTTTTTTTGACCTGGAATTCTGCAGGGGATGGGTGATGGGTTCCTAAGCTATATCAAAAACAATACTGATTGGTGGTTTGGAACATGCATTTTATTTGTCCATATATTGGGAATAATCACCCCAACTGACTTTTATATTTTTCAGAGGGGTAGGTATACCACCAACCGGCATAGGTTGGGTGGATGAGCATCCATTTAGCAGCTATAGTCTAGCGTTCAATACACCACGCTTTGAGCGAGCCATCTGAATTCGGTCATCGCCCGTAGGTGGACAGCCACTTCCATCGGCCACGGCTAGTAAATGGGTTTTATCCCCTTTAGGGCTGTGTATACAGCGACAAATCAGCCACTTACGAAACAGTCAACTTAGTTCAACTAGCTCGTTATCCGCATCTGTAAGTACGTCAGATGTACTGGAAGCTGTTAGCTGGACCGCAAGCTCGCCTGCAATACACTGGAGTTATATGCAATGTCTCTCTATTGTAAGGGATATCGAAGAAGACCATGACAAAAAATCCACACCCACTATTCCTAAAAATCAACCATTCATATTCAAGTATCACTTATCTTCTACATGGAGTCAGAATCCTATCTATATTAAATATATTAAGATTTGCCATGATCAACAACCAAGCAGCTCATTTTTCCGTCACTGTCAATGCGCCTGCCATGTCGTCGCCTGCTTCTCCTTGCAGTGCTGTGGTTGGGCTTGGGCGGGCGTGCCTGGTTGACCTTCCGGAGTGGGAGGTCTTTTCCTGGGAGGCGAGGTGTGCACATTCCGATCACATCAATGCTGGTAGATGGTATATGGGTGTGGAAACAGGGTACCCCCTTTTAAACCCCATGCGAAACTGCGAAATCTTGTGTTTTAGTAGTTATGGACATACCGACAGACCATACCCTCCCTTTAAGTCCCAAGTTACCCCCAAGTTTTTCAGAATTTGACAGGGGGATTCTGGGATGATCATGGGGCCACGGGTCCCGATTTTTCTTCGACATGTTGGAACGTGTTCAGCGATGTGTTTAACGGTGCTGGAAATGTTTCGAAAGATTTGGATTTCAGGTACCCAAACTGGTACTGAAACCTGGCAAAATCTGACAAAATTAACTATAGGGAAACTCCGGAGATGGATCATTTCATGTAAAAAAACTATAGCATGTTTCAACCAGACTCCTGGTACATTGCTACTGAGTTTATCATAAAAAAACACTTCCATTTCTAGGAGATTTGGCATGTGACCAACGGTAACGGTTACGGTTGTGAATGGCTTGAAGCCGCCAATGAAACCATGGTTCTGGCGTAGCTTGATGGTATAGCGACCTCTCATGACTTCACCTTCTCTGACAATATATATATATATATATATTATATATTATATATATATACATGGAGCAACTGAAAATTTGCCTAAAATCTGGTACGGAAAATGAACGTTGACAATTTTAAGTTCTCGAGATACGCTCGATGTAGGACATATTTACCAGCGTTTGCACGCAAAATGGTCCCAGACACAGGTACTAGACCCTCCCCTATATTATGTTTCATAAGTTTACCAATGTTAATGGGTACCCTCTGGGTGCCTTGGTGCACACTAGCGCGATAGGGTATATGAGATACTGTCAGCTGGAGTCCACCCCCGAGTTAGTGGACCTCTGGGCTGTGGTGGGAGGATACCATTTTACCCTCTGGTAAACATACACAAAATTATGGAAAATCACCATTTTCAATGGGTAAATCCACTGTAAATGGTCATTTTCAATAGCTATGTTAGTTTACCAGAGGGTAGATCATTTTAGTATCACTGGTTGATGGTTTGGAAGATGGCTTGTATTTTTCCATATATTGGGAATAATAATCCCAACTGACTTTCATATTTTTCAGGGGAGTTGAAACCACCAACCAGATCATATTGTCACTGTCTGAGGGTAATCCTCCTAATTCACAATCCGAGGGAGAGGTTGGCCAGGCTAGGCTCAAATCTGCTAGGGTCACTGTTTTATTCATGAGGCACTGTTTTTTTTAATGAAAAGAAGCCTTTAATCATCAATACCCCCAAAGCAACCCTCCTTTGATCATTTTAGGTTTATTATTCCGGGGTTGGCATTAGACACGAGGTGAGGCCCCTTAGTTATGAGCTGGTTTCTAAACCCTGAACTATAGTTCTATCCCCGCATAAACCCAAACGTTCGTTCACCAAGTTAGGTGCGTCAACTCAGCTATCATAAATCCCCATTGCTTCCGGGTTACTTAGATGGGCCATGGAGTTAGTGAAAACTAGTTCGTAGCCATGGATTATTTCATTGGGATTTTTTGAGGGTAACAAAATTCCCAGTTACTAACCAGGAATCGGCAAAATCCCATGGCCCATCTAAGTGGTTGGTTTATGTCCATCAATTATTGATGATTACGTTAGTTTGTGAAACTCAATCACTTATTCATTATTAGGTCTATTTAAACCGGTTGGTTTATTTCGATTAACATGAACATTTTGCCCATATTTTCCTATGGTGTTCCTATGGTTTTGGTTTCGTCAGACCCTCGCCTTGCAAGATCAGGATCGGCAGGTCGGCTGAGCCCAGAGGACTGAAAGAAAGGGGGATTCTTATTGGAATTTAGCAACACACAGAACTATAAGATTGAACCAACTGATTCTTATTAAATATTAGGGGGATTCTTATTGTTTATTTAATAAGATTGAACCAACAGAACTGATGATCTATGGGACTTAACCAGCAGAAATTTGGAGTTGCTGATGATCTATGGGCCTTTGGGGACTTAACGAGCACACATTTGGATTTAATGGTGATTTAGCCAACGAACATCGGGATTGAAGATGCATCGTTTCTGTTGGTTGAAATCAATAGTTCCAGCTGGTAACCACAAAAAGTTAAAGATAACTATGGAAATTATGCTTTGCGGTAGATATATCTAATATATCTTTAGTTAACTGAGTCTACAACCTAAGTTGCAACTGGGGGGGTATCACCTTGTTGGCGGTTATTCAGCTGGTGGCTGTGTTTAGCTGGTAGATTCTTGTTAAATTTATCTACAATATGTGCCTGGTTGGTGGTTTCACACATGGCTTTTATTTTCCATTATATATATATGGGATGTCATCCTTCTCATTGATTTTCACTCCATCATTTTTCAAGATGGTTATTATTTGCACCACCAACCAGGCGCAGTTTTTTCGTCAAAAAGTCGGTATCAATTCAATTCATCATTGCTGCTGGGTCCATCGAATCAGATGGGATCCGTTTCAGCGAAGTCCATTTCACGGGGATCACATGTTCATCTTACTGGTGCGTTTTACGTAGGTCTGCTGGATGGGTTGCTGGGGGTTGCTGGGATGATGACATTACTAGTGATCAATTATGGATCATTCCCGAAAATTCCCTACGTTTAGCACCAGTAAGTTATTTCAAAAGTCCCAATTAGTTGTCATTTGAGATTCAAATTGGTTTCCACGTCGTATGCTTTTGCAACGGCAAGCGTGAGTTTTTGGAAACGTTTGTCAGATGTTGTCACGCCAATCTGGAGAAATTTGATGGCAGTGAAGGAATGGCTGCCACAAGACTTCAGCAAAGGAGCACATAGAGCAAGGGCAATACAAGAACGGCTAGGATCGCCGTGAAATTGGGCAAAGATCATCGCTTGAAGGTGGATGTTGGAGGCATCTGCGGCATCAAGTGGTTCATGGCTAAATCGTCCATTAAACCTTCACGTCTTTGCACATTCCTGCCTGTTGCTGGTGAAAAATACCCATTTGCACCCATGTTTTGTTTGTTAAGTATCAACACCGTTTGTGTAAGTTGTTGAATGCATTCCATTTCTTGTTAGCCAAATGGCCAAATACCAGGACCCATCCATTTACATTGGTGAAATTATTGTACTTTGTTGTTTTCTTGGCATTCTTTCTTGACCCGCAAAGTACCTCGGAAAAAAGTAAGCGTACTAAGCCAGTGTGGTCAAATACACGTATTGATGGGTAAATTCACGGTCATTACAATTTGTTGTTTCACTGAGTTGTTGCATTCTTGCTTCCAATGAGGATTCTGAAGTGACAATGACACGCATATTTTCAGAACGCCAAAAACAGAGATGGCAGATACAGTATATGAGATGTATGTACTGCTACCTTGGCCACGGAGAAAAAAATGCTAAACACATTAGGTACAGACCTATTTTTTGGGCTGCAAGCTTCCTCTTGGTGGATCAACTATGGCTGACCTCTGTAGATTTCATCCCCCGAAATAATCCGAAAAATCGCCATATCTGAAGATTACCATTTAAGTATCCCCAGAAATCCCATCAATTCACCATGTTTCTGGGTTTAATCCCATTCAATCATCATTGTTTCTTGGTTTAATCTCATTCAATTCACTATTTTTCTTGGTTTAAGCCCCATTATATCCCCATGCTACACCATTGGGGGTATGCTCTCAGCCCCGTCTTCAGGAGAGAACCAGCTGGAGCAGATGCTGTCGGAGCTTCGCAAGCATCGGAACTGGATGCCCCGCAACCGTCGGAAGGCGCGGCGGAAACGGAAACGGAGAGCCAGATGGAGCTTCAAGGTGAGGCCCTCTACAATTGTAGCCATGGAAACGAGTTATTGTTATGGTCATAAATGGGATTCATTCATTCCATACAAGGAGTTGTTTCACTGACTTATAAGTGGTAAAGGGCCACAAGTGTACATATCAAAAATGAAGATGGGATGTATCGGATGTACTGTGACTTATATAACGGGATTTAGTTGGCTAAGTTGACGCACATACCTTGTGTAAAAACTCCTGCAGTAAAACCCATGTTCTATCTACATCATTTGACTGTGCGTAGGGTTGGTTCAAAAGTGCCAAGTGCTTACCGGTTGTTTCGCCCCATTGTTATTGTAACATTTGTGGCTGACCTGATAAAATACAGGTTATCAGCGGTAGTCTCACCACTAAGCCATGGGGACCCCAGCCGACCTCACAATCGCCATCCCAGGGTCAGGTCCACCCGTCGCTGTGCCAGACACAGCCGGGAGTGATCCCGTGCCCATGGATGATGACACGATCTATCAGCCAGTGATAGCATACTTCACGTTCATACAAAACAACATTGCACAGATCACCAGTGGTAACACACTACAGGTAATGAGGGAAGCTGAACAAAGGCACCTTCAGATCATGCAAGGAGTAGTTGACTCTATCAAAAATGATTATGGTCAAACAAGCTCATCCAAAAGGAACAAGAGTATGAACAAAGATCGCAGGAAGTAGAAATGAAAGCTGGAGCTGCACTAGCTGAGGAACGAAAGCAAGGTGATGAATTGGATGTCAGGTTGAACCAGGCTCAGGCTACACATGATGCCAAGGTTGAGGAGTTCAAAGCAGAGGCAAACGCCAAGCGCGACCACAAAATCGTGGAAGAGCGGCAGCGGATCACCAAAGAATTCGAAGAAGAATCCGTAAGAAGTCTTTTGACAAGATCGCTGTACAAGCTCATCTCTCTTTTGAAGCGCACATGGACACGTCAGAAGAGCCCTTTGATGGAGAACTTACAGGAACAATGCCACGCCCCAGATGTGAGTTGCGCGTTGTATGCGAGCCTGCGCAGTTCGAAATGCACATGGACATGTCAAGTCGCAAGAGCCTGGCGAGGTGCCTGGTACTACAGGGGTGAGGCCGGCGGTCGATGGATCCTGTGGAACCGTTAGGTTTAGATGATGTAGCATTTTTCGAGATGTGGCATGGTATTGTGCCTTCCCTTGCATCGCTATGTGGGTTTTCAGGCTTGAACTTTTTACAGGAGCTTGTATATACGGCAAATAAGTAGACTAAAAGCCATATAAAAACAAACCGGCTACCCGTGAGGGTGAGCTCAAGGGGGGTGTAAAAACTCCTGCAGTAAAACTCATGTTATATATATATGTATACATCATCTGACTGTGCGTAGCGTTGGTTCAAAAGTGCCGAGTGCTTACCGGTTGTTTCGCCCCATTGTTATTGTAACATTTGTGGCTGACCTGATAAAATACACCTTGTTTAACTTTTGGGTTTAGGGGGATAATATAGTATTGGTGCAGTTTTTAGGGGAGCCTCACTGTGTATGAATTGAGCGTCCCCAAACCGCAGATGAGGAGCAACAACAGTGATTTATATCATGCAGGCATTAAAATAATGTTTGCGGTAGACCTTGGTGAATGGTCGATTGGTCGATGTTGTTTATATAAAGCTCGAAATTGGAGGATTATGTATCATCCAATTAAAACAAAAGACGCGGTGAATTTATGTTTGGGTAAGCCTTGGCTCATGGCGTATTGTTGAGCTGCACAAAAACAAAACAGTGTTTAGATTTATGCACGGAATAACAGGCTCTATTGTTTGTAGCTGTGCGTAACCCATTCACTAAGCTTGTCTAGCCTTTTAAATTGTGTTAGGGGCCATCATTCTGTTTAGGCATTCAGACTTGATTAGGGCCACTTTGATTGGGTCGTTCATATGAAATTGCAGAGATGCCTATAGAAGGTCAATGTATAGAGATGGCTTCGGGTTCCTAATTCACCGTGAATCGTGAGTAAGTCGCTAGCAAATCGCGAGGAATCGTGAGTGAGCATTGCTATAAACCCTTGGCCGTGGAACCCAGCAATATTGCGTCTAATATTGCTTTAAGCACTCGGCCGTAAACCTTCGGCATTGCTATGGTTTCTCGACAAGGACCTTGATTGTGTCGCTGTTCCTGGGGACTTGTCATCTCTGGCGCAGCTTCGCCGCTTGCCCAGTCTCCGTCAGGTAGCTCAGGCAATGCCTAAGATGGGCCGTTGCCAGGGCTTCACTTTGGGGCTCACCACGGACTACAAGTTGGGTGCGCGAGGTAGGAACTGGTTTATACTTTGGATATGCTTGGACCATTTTGAAATCCACAAAAATCGTCTGGTAATCAAACGTGGCTGGGAAATCCCCGAACTAAATGGTGATTCATAGGGTACTTGGTTTCTGTGAATGTTTTGATGGGTTTCTTTTAAAATGATGGGTTTAACCTTATATGCTGGGGTTGTCCTTATTTCACTGATGGGATCAGCGATAGTGGGACCAATGTGGACCAATGGTTCAGGGCGTCCGCCACTTTTGGAAAGGTGTCATTTCGTTTTGGACACCGGTCATCATTTTAATGGCCAACAAAGGATGCCAGTTTATGAGTACGATTTCCCAGAAATTTATCGCAGTGCACGGGTATTTGTGACTATTTACAGTATGTATGGCATGTTTTGCAGGTCCTCGTGGCACTTTGCCAAGCCCTTTTTTCCTGTGAGATTGAAAAGGCAGAATGATTGTTTGCCAGGCCACTTAGCCTGAAACAATTGTCACTGAACTCCGACTGTGGCACCACGGCTCAAGATGTTGCAGGACGTTTCTTGCAATAATAGATATATACAGGGCGGTTTCCGTTTCGTCTCTTTCTTTGAATGCTTCGAATCAATGTCGGGTTCCCGAGTGGTTCTGGGGAAACTTTGTTGCTCCCTGAACACACCAGAGTTGGGGACTTGAAGCTCCTGGCGCAAGAATTTTTGGGAAAGCGATTCCTGAAACTCTTCACAGCGAAGGGACACCTGACCAATCCCATGGAGCGAGGCTGACTGTTCTGCAGCTCAAGATCAGCTGAGACATGTGAAGCAAATTCAAGTTGCACAAATGGCATTTGCCGCAATCTTGGCCGATGGATCCGTCGTTACCTGGGGCCGTGCAGAATTTGGTGGTGACAGCTCTGCATGTCAAGATCAGCTCAGGAATGTGACGCACATTCAGTCCTGGTTGTCTGGGGAGACCCCAACAAAGGTGGTGATTGCTCGGCAGTTCAAGATCAGCTCTGGCACTTGTAAATAGAACTGATGCGACTGCCAGAACTGATGGTTTGCACTATAACCTAGTATGGCTCCGGACCGGCGGGACAGCGGTTGACTCTGGGAAAAAGAGCTACGGGTGTTCCCCTGGGTGAAATTGTATCAAGGTGCATGAGATATCAACAACTTCCATTGGTATGTGCACCCAGAGGCTTGCATGGCTGCAAAGTGTTTGGTGCTTATTACAGGCTCTCCCCATCCGTGATAATGGCCAGCAGCTACCCATCGAGTTCCCAACCAGGGTTGCTATCCACTTATAAAGTGGTGCCTCTCAATTGTTGTTGGAATATAAATATGTGGGGCCCAACCCTGACGTTAATCCGTGCCGGAATTGCGGAAGGGTTGCGTATTTTTGAAATGCCATGTCGGTGGACTTTGAATATGTAGATGTTTATGTGATCCATGGCAATCATCATCATCATCATCACCGTCACCATCATCATCATCATCATCACCACCATCATCATCATCATCACCGTCATCATCATCATCATCACCATCATCATCATCATCGTCATCACCATCATCGTCATCATCATCCCTCATGAAGATAAGCTGATGCTAGTATCAAATGCAGCATGTTTGTCACAGGGTGTTGAGGTTTTTGTAATCCCTTATGAAGACTTGTTGATGCGATTATCAGATTCAGCATATTTGTCAAACAGGGTGGTGGATTTGATCACTTATGAAGATAAGTTGATGTTATTCCTTATTCAACATATTTGTCAGAGGGGGTGGTGGGTTTGCTGATCCCTTATGAAGACGAGTTGATGTGATCATCCCATTCAACGTATTTGTCAGGGGGGGTGGTGGATACTTGATCCCTTATGAAGATAAATTAATGTGATTACACCATTCAACATATTTGCCAGAGATCCAGAGGGGGTGGTGGATTTTTGAACCCTCATGAAAATAAGTTGGTATGATTACCAGTCAATATATTTGTCACAGGGGGTGGCAGATTTTTGATCCCCTATGAATATAAGGCAAATAAGTTGATGGTAATACCTCATTCCACAAGAGTTGACACTGGTGATGTTCATGATAATGATGATGAAGATGATGATGATGATGATGATGATAATGATGATGGTGATAATAATGATGATGATTTCGACGACGAGACCATGGCGATGATGGTGATGATCATCACCATCGTGATGATGATGGTCATGATGATGATGATGGTGATGTTGATGATGAAGATGATGATGAAGATGATGATGATGATGATGATCATGATCATGATCATGATGATCATGATGATGAGATCATGGTGTTGATGACGACGACGATGATGATGATGATAATGATGATGATCAGGAGGAGGAGGAGGAGGAGGAGGAGGAGGAGGATGGTTGTAATTGTGGAGCAATTTCCGGGTTGGACGGAACATGTCTAACTATGGATGCGTCCGCCATACTCCAACAGTAAACCTACGTAGTGATGGCAACCATATTTGCTACACGCTGGGGCATCGCTGTGTAGGATAACATTTGACCGCATTAAATCGAAAGTACTGCTAATCATGGATGTTATATCCGCATGGTCTCACCTATATAGGCAAACCCTCCATCAATCGCTAGAATATGCCCATTGAATATAATAAAATCCCACTGAATCACCATGTGTTTGGATCAAATCTCATTAAAATCATCATTTTTGTTGCTTAAATCATAAATCCCATTAAAATCATCATTTGCGCGGGTCAATTTCCATTATATAAAATCACCACGATTTTCACCCAGTTCTATCAATTCCTCGGGCGCGGCGCCAGGTGCTCCCGTGGTTTCGAAAGCCACGCGCGCGCATCCCGCGCTGACGCTTGCCTTGTGTCGCGGATGTCGTGCTGCGTGTCCGGACTTCCACTTTACGTCCATACAGGTGTGGTTTGAAGAGTGAAAATCTGGTGATCTAAGAAGATTTCATGGGTTCACCAGCAAAAATTGTGATTTGTTGGGATTTACTCATGAAAAATGGTGAACTCATGGGATTTAACCAACAAATATGGACTTTTTCAATGCTCACGTGATTTTATAACGATGAAAATCTAAGGTTGTCTGGGGATTTGAGCAACTTTGAAATGTGGCATCCATGGGATTTGACCATGAGGAATGATGGTTTTTGATTCATGGGATTTAGCTAATCAGAATGGGCATTCAACGGGACTTAAACCTATGATATTCATGGGAGAACTTCAGGAGTGACCAGGGATTATTCACCATGTTTTGAAGTGCCATGATGATTTTTTGCCAGGTGAATTTGAACACCAAGTATGGAGTCTTGGATCATTTGGCGCTGCGACTGTTTCTTTCGGCTTGGGTGTTCCTCTCATTGTCCATTATTTATAATTTCTTAGAATCCAAGTTGAATGTTCCTTTGGAACATGTCTTCCATTCACGACTTCACAGCTCTCATTGTCAAAATTGTCCACCCTTTTTTCAGGTTCATGTTTTGGGAAAGCTAGGCCCACGGCTCCACGGCTCGGGGAAATCATCCGCAACATGGAGAGCTCGAACTCGAGGATCATCCCATCGTTTTTGTGGTGAATGTAACCCTGGAGAGTCGTCGTGAGTCGTCTAAGTGGTTTATTCCATTTATCTAGGTCAATCTTACATGGGTACTTTAATCCAAAATAGTCTTTTGGTATTAATGGGAATATCTACTAACCAGCAAAAAATGTAATTGTTTTGCAGGGTATCTAAGATTGGCAATGTTATAAATGATTAATGGATGAACTAAACCCTAACCAGTTACTAACCAGTTCCAGCACAAGAAAATGGGGTGATCCTTCAAACAGATTTAAGGCTATAGACTTGATGATTAAAAATCATCTTCCCCATCCAAAAAGCCCTAATTGGGTGTCAGAGTCAACCATTTTTCAGGTACTAAACCCGTTTGACACTTGTTCTGTGCTCTTCCCGGACAAAATCTAAGAAACATCTAAGTTTGAAATCTCCCAAGGATGCCATTTGTGTCGCACTTCCAGTGATGTTCGTTCATAATCATAGTTATACCATGTTATACCCACAAAAGTTGTTCCAACTGCACGACCAAGTAGGACTTCAACAAGTTCACCTGAGGTATGCATACTGATGGCTACGATGCGGGGCCCAGCCGCATGATTGCCCGCGGCCCCAGTGGCCGTGGAGGTGTCATAATATGCTACAGGGCGGGTCCCCCAAAGAGAACTAAATTGGTTATAATTGGTTGAAATTATAGGTTAACTATGGTTGATGGTAGACATATCTTGTTTATTGAGCTTATAAACTGACAAACAAAGCTGTTCGGCACAACCTTGTATGAGTTGTATATGTCCTGGCTTGTAGCTGATGTCACAGATCTAATATGTATAGTTATTGGAGGACCATCTCCATGTGTCTGGTCTTTGGGATAACCCATCATACATGTTCCCAAGAGTGTTTGAGATTTACAGTTCCATTTCAAATACCCTATGGGAATTTAACAGTTCGCTATTGAAAATGGTGATAGAAATAGTGGAATTACCCATTGATAGCATCGTGGATCTTTCCATAGTTACGTAAACATTTACCAGAGTGTACATCATTTATAGTGAGTGTTCCCATTAAAAATGGTGATTTTCCATAGTTATGTAAACGTTTACCAGAGGGTACATTTTGTATAGGTTCCATTTGCCCATAGTTTTGGGGCTTCAAATCACCCCCGGCCATTGTTCTGCTGGTGGATCCGCTGAGGCACTGGGAAATTTCTCGGAGGGACAGCTGTGGTTGCACGACGGTCGGAAGAACCGCTGGAGCACCTGGACAGCGATTCGATTCGGCGCCTTAGCGTTTCGGTACTTAGGCGGGCCATGGGATTTTGCCGATTCCTGGTAAGTAACTGGGGGTTAACTAAGCCTCTATATCCCAATGAAATAATCCATTTACTAGCTAGTTTTCGCTAAGTCCATGGCCCATCTAAGTACCGTTTCGGTAAGGACATCAGCCTATTGGGCTTACGGCTTAGCACTGGCACAGTGGATGGTTGCGAAATCCTGCATCCTGCACCTGTTGGTAGATAGCTTATCCCACTATAATCCCACTCTTTACAATGTTTCATAGCTACCAATACTTACCAACTGGTGCAGGATTTCGCAACCATCCACAGTATCATTCTATTAATACACTACTTTAGTAGACAGCCCAATAGTCATCAACTTCAGCCCAAAAGAAAGTAAGAATCTCCGAAGTTGATCCAAGTTGATGCTGTGTTATGCACAGTGGGGACATCCACCTTGACCCTCAAAGCACAGGGACAAGACATGCAAGAATGTTGGGGGACATACCACCCTTCCATAAGAGGTAAATTGATTGTCCAGCAAATTCCATTAAACCAGTTCCAGTTATGGCCCTTTACCAGTTATAAGTACTTATAACCCCATTTATAGAATGTATAATCCCACTTATAACCAGTTATAACTGATAAATGGCCATAACTGTCATGGTTTATAGCAATGACCCAAGTGCTTGATAGTTGCTGTGCAAGGTGGGGGCTTCACCATAGTTCGGTAGCTTCACCCAGATGCTGGTTCGTTAGTTATTAAGCTTACTACAATGTGGGGCCCCCAGTTGATAGCGTTCAGTTGGGGGCTACATAACTCCAATTTCACGAACTGGTTTATGAATGTTTATGATACGCAAACAACTATAGTTAATGGGGTTTATAAACGGAATGAATTTTGGGGTTAAGCAGCGCCCATTGGCGGCAAGCAAAAGACAAGAACATGACAAATGGATTGCAATGATGAATTAATGATGCAGGAAACTATGAGTCACAGAAGATTCACCGATGTTATTTTCCCTGTGGGAGAGTTGCAATAGTACCTTTGTGTGTCCAAAGGATCCATCGAGAGGCTGACATTGGCAGGTTTGGTCAATGTGCAGAACACCTGGATTGCTTTCGACGGCCGAGAGTTTCACTTGACAGAGGAGCCACCCTGAAATTTCATGGTTTTGTCTCCATCTTTCGGATTTTGGGGATACCCAAGAAAATGCCTTTGGTCAACAAACAATGATAGATTATAAACAACAGAAAAACACATATTGATATACGTATATATATATATATGTTGATTTTTGCAACCTGCCTGACTGAGATGCTACCATGAGCACAAATCGAGAAGTGTAACGAAGTTTACATCCAGAGGTCAGACATACATGTGTCAATGCCGTGGCTGCCATTTAACATATCAAGGGCCCTTGGGCCTTCCCCAATTCGGGGTAAGGCGACGTTCAGCTGTGGAGGAAAAACCTTGTGTGGCGCACTTTGCGCAGCGGTGACACTTGTGTTTTATCATGGTAGCGGAGCAGTAGCTCCAAGGCCTGCTCTCGCTTGGATTTGACCGCAAGAGGTCCTTCACTGGGCCCGTGGTTTGCACTGGCCAGTCCCGGCCGACAATTTGTGGCATCAACTTTGACCTCAGTCAATCTCTGGTGCAATCCTCTGCCGTATTTGTCCTGCTGAGTTTTGGCAGCAGGTATGGATACAGAAGATCCTTTCAAAGACATCTCCTTTGACGGACGTCCAGGTAGTTACCGGGAATTCAGACGTAAAGTCATTCTTTCTGTAGCTGCACTGGAGGATAAGGTACAACATCTAGCTGGTCCGAAGTTGCTGTCCCGACTGACTGGCGAAGCATGGAGGTGTACGGAACATTTATCAATAGCTGGCCTGAGGTGCCAACAAGGCTGGTTGAAGGTTTTGGAATGCCTAGACCGAAACTTCAAGCATTTGCCGGAAGTTGAGCTCCATGAAAGCATTGATGAGTTTTTGTTCCACCTGAAAAGAAAGCCCCATGAGGGTGCGACAGCTTGTGCATCCCGATTCAAAACTGCTCTTGCGAGACTGGAAAACCTGATAGCTGCTGAGAGAGAAGCCTCTCATGCCAAACGCCGTCGCAAAGACGACCAAGGACGACGTTTCTTAGGTCCTGCATCTCCAGTAGCTAGTTCCCTGGAAGATTCATCCGATGCCCAAGATGCTCCTGACCAACCTGATGGTCCTGCTGACGAGACTGATGGTGAAGTATCCGAAAGCAGCCGAAAGCTTGCACATGCCGATACTGCCAAGTCCTCAGCCGAGGCCAAAACTGCTGCAGATGCCAAGGATGACACCTTTGCATCGCCTGCCCATAAGAGTGGTCCACCTAGCCAGCCATCCGGTGGTCCACCCAGCCATTCGAGCCGTAGTTCAAAGCCTGGAAAGAAGCATTCCACAGCTTCTCACAAAGCTGAACATGAGCGTGCTCAATTGGAAATGCAGCGTATGTTGGGTACATTAGAGCCTGGATTCAGAAAGCCGAAGCCCATTTTTCCACAATCTGTTTTGGGACATCTGTTTATGAGGAAGTTTGGATTGAACCGTGAACAAAGAAGCCAAGTCATCAGATCCACTGGAGGGTCTTCGAGATTTTTGGATGTTGAGCGTATCCTCAGAGCTTCTGACATCGAGGACAATAGCCGCCTTGATGATCGTCGCAGTGGAAAGCCTCCTTTCAAAAGTCAACGCAGAGACGCCTTTGCAGTACAGGAACCTGATGATAGCTCCTCAATAGATTTGCCCCTCTCAGATTCAGATGGAGAAGATCCTGAAGTTCTACTTGGCCAAGAATCCGAGGTTTCCTCGAACCAATCTGCCGATGATGAGGTGGGTGAAATTCTGGAAATCCAAAAGAAGGCCAAAAAGGATTTTAAGAAAAGTTTTCGGACTTATAAGGAATCCAAGAAAAGAGTCAAGGAAATCAAGAAGAGTAGAATGGGGAACACACCATACTATCCAGTTGTTGCGATGCCACCAGATTCCAATGCCTCAGGGTCAACTCGTAATCAAATGGTGCAACAGAAATCATTCAAATATGATCGCAAGGACTTCAATAAAAAGAAAGGTGATGCATCGAAAGTTTCAAAACAAAATTCCAAACGTGAAGAAGCTCACATGACTGAGTCCACAGTGAACACTCAGTTCCAATACATGGTTTCAAGCATCAACGTTGCCCATGCTGAAGATGAAGTTTTTCTGGCTTCAATCCCTGTTGGAATGGCTATCCTGGATACGGGGTGTACAACATCAGTTGTGGGGTCAGAGACTGTTCGTCGATACACAGACCATTTTCGAGCATGTGGTTACCCAGCACCTGTTCCCATAGAACTGCCTCCTGTAGAACTCAAAGGTTTCAATGGTCAGACTGTTACAACTACATCTGGTTTACGTTGGACTGTAAAACTGGGGGATTTGCATGGGACGATTACAACCTATGTGATTGAGAGTGTTGCGCCGTTCCTGCTTTCAAGACGTGTACTGGAAGGTATGGGTGCAGTTTTGGATTTGGGGTCCATGACAATTACCAGCCAAAAGCACAACATGATCAACCAGAGCTTGCCCCAAGCATCCACCAATGGTCATTTGTTGCTGCCGTTGTGCCCCATGCCCAAAGAGTTGGACGTAGCACAGTGTGAGACTTCGAACGAATCCAATGAGCCCAATCAGAACTCCGATCTGTGGTCTTCGAATGCAACATGTGCCAAGAGTCAGCCAAAGGACTCTCCTGCCGAGCCTGTTGAATCCCCAAAGCCTGTTACCACTCCCAAGTTCAAGAAGAATCCCAAAATAACTCCAAATGATAAGCGTAAAGCCTTTCAAACGATGGTGAAGAATACAAAGAATGGGGTTATAGATTTGGATGTTCACAGGGAGTCACTTGCTAAGGTATTCAACATAAATGGGGAGGACATAACCTATGCTGCAGTTGCTTATCAACCCAAGAAGGAACGAATACCCTCTCAAGCAAGCAGCCAACAGTTTGAGGTTTCCGTGGCTGAAATGTCCAAAGATGGTCAGTTCACCGTGCATCCCTGGAGGATCCGTCCATGTGGGGAAGAAAGACGTCCGGTGAGCCCCATGAGTGTAGGCATTTTTGCGTTTCGTTGCCCAGTGTCCGAATCTGTCACACCGGTTGAAGAGGCAATCCAAGGTCCTGCATGTTACTGTTGTAATGAACTTTCCTCAAGCATGCCCGAAAGTAGATCTGGGATAGGTATGGAAACCCTTTATGAAGAAACCGATTGGGTAGACCTAGAAGACCAAAAACCTTTGTCCCAGTCCGTCCAAAAGCAGCTTAGGAAAAGTATCATGTCCCTCAGAAAAGCCAGCAGTAGGTTGACCTTGTCCCGAATTGCCACAGACCCAGCCGGGGTGAAAGCCGAATTGCAAGATTGGTTGAAAGACCAAGCCCCAAAGCTTGACCAGCGTGTTGGCCTAATAGAAGTGTTTGCCGGACAAGCCCAAATTGTCCAAAACCTTTGAAGATAGATCCAACACCAAAAGCATCAAGTTGGGCCTAAGCTATGGTCAAGATTTCACCAAGCTGCATGACAGACGATGCTTGCTGCTCCTGATCGCCTTCTGTCGTCCCAGCCATGTGTGGTTTAGTTTTCCGTGTAAATATTGGGGTCCCTGGACAAACCTGAATCTCAGCCGAGATCCAAAAACTAGGGATGAAATCCTAAGACAAAGGGATATAGCCCTGAAATATTTACATAACGTTTCCGAAGCATGGCATCTCCAGAAGTTCCTAGGTGGACATGCACACTGCGAAAACCCATGGTCATCCCTGGCATGGGCCGTTTTGAACCTAGGTGAATGTTGGGAAGTCAGAATCGATCAGTGCTCGCTTGGACTGCGTTCTCCAAAGTCCGATGTGCCCGTCTTGAAGCCGACAAAAATTGTTACGACGCAAGAGACTCTTGCGGCAGGACTTGTAAATTGTCGTTGCGATGGACAACATCGGCATGAACATCTTGAAGGAGCCTATAAAGGTAGGAACTTGACTAGTTGGGCAGAAGACTATCCCCGGAAGTTTTGCCGTGTCATGGTCAAGCTCATGTTGCCTGAGGTTAAGTCCAGTTTTCCCAAAAAGCATGTTGAGGAAATACTAGCTGAAGAAGAAGATGAACTAGATGTGCCTCAAAATGAACCCCAGCATGAATCAGAGGGCGTTGTTGCCAAACAACCTGAAGATGCCCGAGCAAAAGCCCTTGTCCAAAAGGTTCATGTAAATACTGGCCACTCCTCAAATGAGCAAATGTTGAGGCTAGCCTTCAGATGTCAGTCCTCGCCTGCGATCGTCAAAGCAATTCGTGAGTTTAAGTGCCCAGTTTGTGAAGAACTGAAAAGGCCACCAACCCACCGAAAGGCTGCCATTCCGCATGCAGAATCTCCGAACCAAATAGTAGGAGTAGACTATGTTCAAGTCGAGCTCAAGAGAGAAAACCCTTCCGGAAAAACTGTTGAAATTGTTCGCAATGTTTTAACTGTAGTTGATCTTGCAACGGACTTTTGCCAGCAGATCGTAGTCCCAAAAGGTCCAGCAGGTATGTCCGAAGCTTTTCACACAGTTTGGGGTCGTCCATACGGCATGCCAAAGACCGTTTTCATGGATCCCGACCATAGGAACATTTCAGTTGATTTTCAAAGGTATCTTGTCAGACATGACATTCAACTTCTGCATGCAGCTGCTGAATCGCACTGGCAGTTAGGGAAGGTTGAAGTTTGCAATAGAATATTGCGCGGCATGGCGCAGCGTGTTTGGGCCGCAGGTTCAACAGCCTCACCTGAGGAAACCATAGACATGTGTGCAACCATAAGAAATGAACAACTGAGAAAACATGGTTTTGCTCCAGTGCAGTGGTTCCTTGGTCGCGAACCCAGACATGCTGGTTCACTAGCCGATGTGGACCAACAGCTGCCCTGAGTCTCCAAAACTAGTAAATTTACTAATTTAGTAAATTTACTAATGGGGAAGAATTTACGTAATTTTTTCTCCATTTTTCTTGATATTAGTAAATTTTGTGAAAAACGAAAAGTGCATCAAAAGTGCATCGACCGTGCAGTTTTTTCTTAGCATTTTTGATTGATTTTTTGATTTTGTAAC